ACCGTTTTATAGCCCGGCGGCTGTGGTGGTTCACCGTTTTTTGGCCCGGCGGCCGTTGTGGCAGTTAATTCGTTGGAAGTGGAGGTGAATTCCAGTGAAGTTCCGGTGAGCGGTAGTGAGTTCCGTTAAAGATTTCCCAATGAAACAGCGCCCCAGTGACGGGGATCACACTCAGCACCCGAGTGGGACGGCTGAGCGAAACACACTCTGACATTGGTTTTCAGTTACACTCAGTTCCCAAGCTGAGAAGGAAGGTGAGAGAACGGAAAGGTGGCAGAGTCCGCGGAAAAGTATTGTTTAACATTGTTCACCAGTGCACTTTAGTTAACTACGATTACTGCAATTTAGACCTTGACTGAAAAAGAAGTGCTGAGTCCGTCGAACAGTATTGTTGAAAAACGTCGAGTTAAACAATTGAAAGGCAGGTACGTCAGTGCTGGCCGGGCACTGATATCACATCCACTTGGTGCGGTCTTTGTTAGATGAGGCACACCAAGGGATCCTCATCCCCCTGCTTTAAAATAAATTGAACCCTTGGAAGCAGGGTTTGGCACACACACACTTCGAACTTGGATTCTTCAGTTAATGCAAGTACCACGTTGGGAAGGAAGGTGATGGAACAGCAAGGCGAAAAGGTCCAAAGACTTGAAATGCTGAAAAAAGTTTCACTCGCGCGGCTGGCTGCAATTCACAAGCGGCTGAAAGCTGCGGTGGGAAACCTGTTTGTGGGGGAGTATCATGTGAACCACCATGAAACAAACCAAAGGAGTGGACAGCGTGTGCAACAGTTGTTCAGCAGGTACACGGAAGTGATCAGCTTCCGCTTCCTAGGATCTTGCAAGGAGCTTCGTTGGGCAGAGCCTTGCAAGTCCTCTCTGCCCCCCCTGCTTGCGAAAGGTGGTGGTGGAAAACCCTTTGTCCAGGGGTGGACACACACACACACACTTTTAAAGGCACATAAAGACACAATACAATGCATTGTATTGAGCCGGAAGGAAGGTGTTCGCTTTTGATGCACACAAGGGTGACTAGGTTTTGCGGTGTGATTGACATGCGTGTTTGTGTTTGAAACTCAATAAATAAGGCTAATTCAGATGTGGATCAGACCCGTAGAAAGCACAACACTGTTGCACGCTCTTGGCAGTTTGCATACCGGTTGGCCTATCTGAAGAGAATTCTGTGGTTTAAAGCAGCGTTACCTCCTGTGATCTCCTGTGCACATTTGTACACAATTTCCCACCCCGACACATTTCCCGGTTACCAATACGATACATATGTATATGTACCATTATATACCTGTATTGGTAACCAACCAACGGTTTTTTTGTGTGCTTGAATTGAACCTTTGTTGTCTTGAATGCGTGAGACAGACAATGGACTTGAAGAGTATGCAGAAACATGAGGCCAGATGGCAGCAAGCATAGACAATGCATGCAGCACAAAGATACCTTTTTGCAGATGCTTGTCAAGATGCCCCTCTGCAAGGCGTTGGAGTGGCTCGTGGAATTCAAGGATCCGAAGGTCATCAGCCATTCCGTGGTTGTCTCTTGACAGTCATCAGTCATATGATGCATGTTGTGCAATCATCAGTCGGTTTATTGAGTGTGGTGATTGGAGTCGTATGCATGTTCATGTATGTTTTTTCTTGGAAGCTGAGCAAAAGGTCCGAGAAGCTGTGTTGGTGCCCTCGAAGTGGCACCTGCATCTTGTCAGACTAACACCTTGAGTAATTGAATAACAAGACAGTTCTGTAGTCGAAACGTGATGCCGATTGCTGACCCCTGAACACCCAACTGTTGTGATAGGAGATGCTCAGCAACCTCCCACTCTGGTGTTTCGATAGGCGTCGAGACGTTTGTTTGCTTACCCCTTGAGGTTTACACTGTGGGCAGAGTGCATTTGTTCAGGCCATGAAAAAGGCATTTTGCACATGACACCAAACTGCAATGATAGAACGTGACTCGCCAGCATCTGGAAATGTACGATCTTGTTGGTTGCCCACATGAGAATCTAAGGCTCTCTTTACAGATATGCTTTGGAGTCGTTTGGCCATCTACTACTTCTTGCTTGGGAGACTTGGCACTTGTTGCATCCAAGTCTTTGGTCCAGGGCGATGCCACGCCGCCACGTTACCAGCACTCTGTCGTACGTTTTCGCATGTGGCTCACCCCTTTTAGCAGGAGTGACATGACCAGACCGTGAGCAGCTTTAGATCGGATCGTCCGTTCTGGTGCTTTTGGCATTTTGATTTATGGGGCTTCTAGCTAGTGGATCAACACGTTTGGGTTGTGGAAACCCTTTGTCTCACAAACCTTCTTGGCTCTCTTTTCGCTACTGACCCCGGAAGCACTCGGTCGAATGGTCCTTTTGGTGACACGGAAGACACACAAGTTTGATAGGAAGCTGGGAAATGAAAGGAGATCGTGCAGCTGGGAACATTTGCTGAACGATCTAAACGCCTGGTTCCGTTTCCCTCTCAGGGATGGTCAAAACTATTGGACCTGTTGAGTCAGAGAACTGACACAAGAGGAATTGAACTCCCTAATGTTTAGGGAGCTCAAATTGTCTGGATGTGGAGCCCTCACCCTATCTATCTATCTATCTATCTATCTGAATCTAAACCGTTGTTCTTTTTCTGCCAGTCTGTGTGTCTTTCTTTGCCGGGAAACAGATTACTTCGACAATCCCTCACAACTGTGTACAGAGTTCATTTCTTTATACCCCCAGTATGTATGTATGTATGTATGTATGTATGTATGTATGTATGTATGTGTGTGTACTGTGCTGTTTGAGTTTGATCATGTTCCATGTGAATCTCTTCTCACAATGGACCTGTCTACGCCGAACGCACTTCAGGAGGTTGTACTTCCTCTCTACCCTCTGCGTTTTTGCGGTCAGCCTGGGGCTCAGGTTGGAGTTTTGAACTCCCAGTTTCGGAGATGTTAGGCTAGGTAAAGGAGGAGGGGGCTTTGGGTTTCAGCCTCCTTCGAGCCATGTCATGGAACAAACGACCCATGGTGGCACGTTTCACCACTTTTCATGAGAGATGATTGTGTTTGTTGATTATCGCGTGCTGTCCATACCTTCTCAGGTCAGGCGATCCTACCATCTGCAGAACCGACTGAACAGGCGAGATCCGAATGTGTTGTGCAGCTGTTCCTCAATCCAAAAATTGATTCATCACAACTAACATGCAAAGTCTTTTGAGACTTGACAAGTTCCAAAACAACAGAAGCCCTGGTGGAATATTTTGTTTGTGCATGTTGTGGTAGTGCCCAACCCAAGCTGCAAGCACGTCTTGCTGGGGGCGGCCGTCATCCTAAATCACCAACTCGCGACCGACATTGGTCAATGATACTTTAACCATATGCAAACCGTTTCTTTATGATCCATCACCATCATCATCATCATCATCATCGTCCCCTCCTTCGGCTCTCCGTGGCAGGAGAATGTTTTAGTGTTTGTTTGCCGTTGCTACATTTACCTCGGCAGCATGAGACTTGCTTGCAATTTCGACAGAGTTGTGGGAATACGTGTATGCTGCAAGTCTACCTTGTGGCAGGATTACAGGAGAGCAAGATTTGACGTCCTTTAATGTATACATGGATGGCACGAGATACGTCGGATGTGTTGAAATCTTTAAAGGTCTTGTAGAAAATGAACATGTGGTTGCATATGGCCTGCACGTGCATCTTCAGAGTGAATGAATGGACATGGGCAGAGATTCTGAGGATTCTTCGAGTATCAAGTCCAATCATAGCCGGAATTCTGCATAATTAATTTTATACACAGTCAGTCGGGATTGAATGCATGGAAGACATCGTGCGAGTAATGATCATTTTAGCTGTGTTGCTTTTGGTTTGATGGTGAAATTAATAAATTCCACAGTTCTGCTGGTCTTCGCCAGCACGTGGCTAGACACCATCCTGGGCCGCCTGAATCGATTATTGAGTTGCCCTTCGTTTTCACATGTTTTCACGATCTTAGGTCGCTGAAAGAATAAGTCTTACTGAGGCAGAAGCTGGAATCATCATCACATGTGTGTATATATATATATATACACACAATCATATACAAGATTCTTTCTCTTAGGTGCTTGTATGGGTGTGCTTTTGGTGACCAACATTCGGGAAGACATGTACCAACTCCTTGAGTTCAGGGCTGCGGGCGTCTCAAAAGTGATCACTTCGACGTGTTGTCCTGCACATAAATATATGTTATCCCGGATGTTATCACATTCTTCTCTATTTATAGAAGGCAACTCACTGCCGAGGTAGTGCCTGCACGAGTGGTTGGTGCTTGTGCTTGGCACCCCACCCTTGAAGACAGACCCTCCAAGGTGCTTTCTTCTGGTGCGCGGAGGCCTCAGAGCTGGAAAACAACGGCATTCTGCCGCAGGTCAACCTGGATTACATTGTAATGTTATAGGCACCCCTAGAGTTCTGAATTCTTAGAGCAGTTGAGGTATGAGTACCTCACCACGTCAAAACAACTACCAATAGGTGTTGCATCAATGGGAGCGGCAGCGGTTTGGTGTGACAAATCCCCGTCAAGTTTGGCAATCCGAAACGAACCGGCAGAACCTGTTCTCTGGGAGGCCAATGTGTTTCCTTTTCGTGTTGTGATGATTTGCTTCAAGGTGTGTGTCAAAAGAAGCTGGGATATTGTTGTTTTTTTTGGGGAGGTGTTTGGTTAGAGTCATGGTGAGTGTGAGTCTTGCTGTACAGTGCATCAAATTGGAAGCCCACTTGGGATACTCAATCCACACTGAACAATTTCGGCCCATTGGAGAGATTGGGACATTAAGCGGAAGATGACTGACGGTGGATTCGGACCTCGATGGATTTCTTGGGGTTTGTTCTAGGGTCACCGCAGGTCTCCGCAAAGGCCGTGGTCATGCTGCCAAACATTCAGACAGGGGGTGCATGCTAGGCATCCAACCACCTTGTTGATCACGTGCTTCTTGCTAACAACCTCCTGCCAGATGGAAAAAGAGCACCTAAAAGCACCCTTGATGGACCAACAGGTCAGGACCAGCTTTTGTTCGATTCTTTTCTTCGAGGTCAACTGCGCTTGTGCTACAGGGACGTGAAAGATCGGAGCTTTAGCAGGCCAGTCGTCACGACTCACGTCACGTCGGCGTCTGTTTGTGGGCTGGGCTTTCCACGGCGTGTCGTGTGGAAATCAAGCTGTGAGCGTGTCGGTTTCTGTTTCAGCATCCTACCATATACCTTTTAACTTGGATGTGCCCTGGCACGGAGCTCCAGTCACGCACCACCGGTGGATGGTTCGGAGATCTGCGGCACACGACACTAAGAGGGTCAGTAAGAGGGTCATATATATTTATATATATGGTTATGTTCACATCACTTTTGCATATATATATATACTCTGTCAACACACAGATCTCTAAATTCATCGTTTCACGCGGACTGCACAGCTTCAAGTCCACATGGTCCGGACTGCACAGCGGTTTCGTTCGTGACCTCGGCACCGGTCCGGACCCGCTGCAGGCCGTTTGGTGTTCCTGTACCCGAACACATGTGCAGCACTGCGGTTTGCAAGAAGGCAACAGATTGAATACTGCAGTATTAACAACAACATATTGATTAACCAATAAGTTGCAACAACATTATTGAAAACAATTCTTGGGACAACTGATTGAATCTTTGATGTTAACAACTTTGCTTGCCGGCACAAGGATTTTAGCCTCACACGTCGAACATGGGGCGCTTACCAATATGTTTGTGTTTATACTATAATACTTGACCCTGCTTTCCTAGTTCGCTGATATTGGTTTATTTGGCTGTCTCTTTCTGGTGTCTGCCACCTAGCTTGCGCGAAACACCGCGCCACAAAGGTGCCGCATGGGACCGAGCATTCTGGGACCGTGGCGTCACACGTGTCGACTATTTTGGGTCGACCACGTAGCTACGTGGTCGACCACTTCTACACAGCCTCCCTCTCTTTCCCCAAAACACAGCCGTGGCCGGACCATGTATTTTTTGCTCGACCTTTTTCTATTTTTTTTCCTGTTGCCGTGCGTGTTTCCTTTCTGCTCGTTTTTGTTGGGGGGGAATTCACCTTTGAGTTGTTTAGACCAATGAAGTCGGATTCGGACCTCGGGTCCTCAAGGAAGTAATGAAGTCAACATGCTCGGTTCGGGCAGTCTGAGGCATCACAGGGATGGGCTACATTGCGCTGTTTTGGACTCTGCCCCGGGGCCGGAATAGCTAGTGGAGGCAGCACACGGGCAGATGGATGTGAACACATTGGGTCTGTCCTATTACCCTATTACAGTCGGTCAACACGCAGATCACTATTTTAGAGAAAGGCCTTCATGAATGATCATCATCCACTGTTACTGGTAATAGGATATTTCCAAGAGGTGAACACATGTGAACAGAAGAATACCTGCCACCCTTCTCGAATAGATGACGATGGGGCATGAGTATTTCTGTCAGGAGTAACTACCAGGAAACTTGGCATCATTCTCAGAGCCTTCTTCTACAGACTCGTTCGTGTCTCCCTGTCGTTCGTTCAGGCCCGCCGCATGTGCTGACTGCCGGCTCTGAGGCTGGTGATGTGCACTCAGGAGCCCATCTTGTGGTGTTTGGGCGACGAGGGGCTGCCTGGATGCAGACAGTGACGGTCGAAAGGCGATCCGAGAGGCCTGGCGGGGTCGTCAGGTCCACGCAAAGGAGGAGGAGAGAGAGAGAGAGAGAGAGCTAGCTGTTCTAGGGGATTCACACTCAGATGGCATTCGCCAAACGCCATTAGAATGCCAATTGCTTTGTGATGTTGGAAGCCAGATGCCATCTGAGTGTGATCCCCTATACATCTTTGGTTGTTCTCCTTGATCAACTTGATTGATGAACATCTCCGAGAAGTGAAGAAGAGGGGCAGATAGTGTTCTGACCAACTGTGGAGGATGATCCTGACGTTCCGTCGCATGGTTCAATGAGGCTGCTCTTCAACACCACGTGCCCCAAGGGTTTGGAACGAGCTGATGCCTATGCTGCCTTATCCTGCAACTTAGCATCACTTCATGAGCCAAGATGTCCATCCAGCTCGTTTGAAGACAAGCCATGCAAACAAAACAGTTGACTGATGAACTTGCAGAGCTTGCAAACAGACACAGTTTGAGTTTCTTCAAACGGGGGTGCGTGCATATTCTGTGATTTGCACATAGGGTCTAGAAATGTCTAGAACAAAGAGAGGACAAAAGAAGGTGAGGCAGTGAGGCCCCCCTCAATAATGGCCCTCCTATAAGGTGCCCCTTAAACAAGGGACCTTACCATACCTTGTTCGCCTCTTTCTTTTCCTGACCCTTGTTTAAGAAGTGTCAAGGACGGCACAGCTGAGGTGTGGCGATGCTTCTCTACTGTGGTTTGGTCCTGGATCTCAGCATCCTTTCGATGAGGCTGTCAGCCTTCGTGCTGGTCTGCGGCGGGGTCATCGCAGAGGTGGGCCTCTTCTTGTCGCTCGCTTCGGTGGGCAAAGGGACAAAAGATTGGCCACAGTGAGAGTCGGGGCAAAACATCGTGGAATCCACCAGTGGAACGCCGGAAGGTTGGAAATTTGGAAAGAATGCATGGCAAGATGTCGGGATGTTTCTTCCAAACAGTGGCAACTTTGCAGATCCTGTTGATGTGCAACCACGGTTATTTGATGTTATTTGGGATTGGTTAAAATCGAAGTAATTCCGAGCCTTGTGATTGAAGCTGGCAAGCCAGTTGTGTTGATCTAGTTTCAAGATAATATGCGTAATATGTATACAATATATATATGTATATGTATGTATTTATTAAGACAGCATGTCTGTGAAGTCTGTCAAGTTCTGGATTCTTGCTTGCAACTGGCTGAAACATAAACTGCTCGGGTTCAACCACCCTTGGCGTCATTCGGTCTTGGTTCAGTTCTGGTTAGATCTTGAAGTCTTTGCAAGATGCCACACTTTCCGCAAAGGTGGTTTCTCCAGGAAAGGTTTCTCAAGTGTGAGGTTGTGATAAGAGTTATTTTTTCTTGAAGGTCGGAAATCATTGCAATCTGATCATGTTGCCTTTGGAATCAGCCATTGTATCGTGCAGATGCCTCCATGGTAGAACCTTCAAGTGTCGTAGAAGATGTAGATGCAAATGCATCCAGAAACTCTCGGCTAGCTATGATCAATCGGCCAGCTATGATCAATGAACCCCGCAACAGAAGAAAGGAACATGGGTGGGCCGCACTAGTCACTAGTCACTACACCGGTCCTGGAGTAGTCATAGCTAAGGGGGGGAAATCTGGCCCCCTTCGTTGGTGTGACACAGACTCAATGTCATCATGGAGTCCGTTCAATGTGCTTGGATACCTTTGGTTTTTGAATTATTGCATAATTGTTGCCTTGCATCCAAACAGTGCGAAATTGAATGTCACATGTTTTAACCATCCAACATAAACGTGGGTGGCTTAGTCACTTGCAGATATTCGTCCCTTGGTATTGTCAACCCCCAAAGTTCACCATGTTCACCAGCGAAGCAATAGCCACAGTCTTTTCGACTTTTCTCTCAGCAGTTCCGATATCTTTTTGGGAGTCGACCACAAACTCTGATACTCGACAGCAATCCTCGCATTCTTCTGCTTTGAAGGCACCGGACGGCGTCCGACGAAACACACACCTGAAACCAACCCTAAGGATGGCGGCGGCCTTTCTGATCATCTCCTTTGCCTTGGGTATTTCCTCTCTCTCACATCAGAGCTCAGGCTTTGAAGGCGCGGAGTTTGGAGTTGCACATGTAAAGACTAGACGCGTGTTTATACGATGAAGCGAGAGATACCGAACCTTTGAAGCTCACTATTTGCAACGTGTCGATATAGGCCGCCTGACTCACGTTATTTAACATGGTCGTGGGTCCAAAACGAGGGACCTGGTTTTTCCCACCGAACATGAATCAGAATGGACTAGTATACTAGGGAGGTCAACCTACCAGGGCTTATGGCTGGCTTTGACCCACAGCTATGTCGCCCTCACGTCGTGATCTCCCAAATCCTCCATTGGGCACAAGTCCAACCCAGCGCAATGCCCTGGTTGACCTCATGGCAAGACTTGCGAATGTTCACCAAGAGCTTTCCCACAGCTTCCCACCAACATTTAATTCGTGTGGGTGAATCAATGATATTCTATGATATCCTTGGTTTTTCATCACCCACATCTAGGGCATCTCTGGGTCTTGCACGATCCCTCCTATCCTGTATGCACTGGTGTGTTGAGGGTTGGATTGGACACAGGATGGCAGGCGCACGCTGAACCCTGAACGGATCATGTTTGCTTCTGGCACAATCATTGTACGTATGGGACCAGGCTCGTGATGTTAACTTTTTGCAAAATGTTGCTTCCCAGGATGGGCTTAAGGTAGTGAAGAACAAACATGTTTGCAAATTCAGATGCACGCTTTAAGTCCTTACCAGTTGCACGTGACTCTACTTTGCTCCGTTTGCTCCTTATGATCCTAGTCTTCTTTTTGACTTAAACAACTTAAAGGAAACCGGTGGATGCCCTGTTCTGCGGTTTCTCGCTACCCCTGATATCTTGTTCTGTTCAGTGTCCGTTCCAGACGGATCCAGACAGAACTCAACACGCGTGGGCCTGGGCCGTTTCGTCTCGCTGCACACCTCGTGGGCGTTGACCGTTCTGCACACCTCTGAGGCCTTGACCGTTCTGCCTATGCACTCTGTTCCATCATGCTGGGGATCTTGCCATCTTACCACCTGGACGACATGCAGGTGGCATGGGCATGGGGGCCTTCCTCGGTTCGACAAGATGAGGTTCTAGATTTCTGGAAGCTCAAGAAACGAGGAAAAAAGAGCTGCCTTCTGCAGCCGCTTCGTTCGTCCCTCCATCCCAAAGGAGGTCAAGCCGCATGGGCAATCGGAGGTCAACCGCATGGGGCGTAAGGAGGTCAACCGCCTTCCACTCCGAAGGGTCGAAGCAATCTTGGGACGCACGTACTTGGTCGTGCCCATGCCGGCAAGCCCAAATGACCAAGGCAAGCCCAAATGACTGCCAGTGTGGAAGTTTGCAGAAGAATTGAGTTTTTTGTAAATGCGGCAATGCGTGTATATAGTCAACAGTTTGAAACGCTGTCGTCCGACGTATGGGTTCTTTTCATTCTTTGTGTTTATCCTGCAACCTATCGTATTGCGAAGGAGCATGTGGGCGTCGTCATTACGGTCGCAATCTTTGTCATTTTCATTTCAATCTTTTTGTTGAAACCTGGCAGCACAAGAACAGTGTGACTGACTTTGAGGACCCTCCAATGGTCGTTTCACACGGACAAGTGACATGACAGAAGAGGAGGGGCAGGGGCACAGGTGTTGTCTCCTGCGCCGATGGTGCGGGACCGAGGTGTTTAGATTGACCAACTACTATAGTGGTATCAGGTAAAGGAATTGGGGACTACATGTCGGGATTTGGTGCAGGATCATGATCATGGTGCTGCATTGGAAAGTCATGGCAAGTCGTTGCTGCAGGTCCAGGCAAGTTGCTGTTTTGACGATTGGATCCTTGCCCCAGTCTTTTGCACGGCTAGCTCTTTCCTTGCCTCCCCATTCTCCTCTTACTCTTCTTCCCTTCTCCCTGTCTCCCTCTCCCTCTCGGCAGCCTGGGCTTCAAGCGATGTCTTGCAATGTTTGTCGTGTGTTTGTGTGGGGGCCGTCGAACTTCTTTCGCTTCAACTTTCGCACCGGCGCACCGCCGTTCTTCACACTTCCCGTTCGTGCTTCTGCTTCGTCTGAGGAATCTCTTGGTGGCACAGCTGAACCAAGCGTACCAGGTGATTTTCCCCGATATGCAAGGCTATGCACGTCCGGAGGCCCAGCATAGGATCGTCGAGCACAGGGACTGGGCAAAACAAAACACGAACCGCTTGGAACTCAGGTCTCACACGAGCCTCTGTGATCGTGCCTGGTGGCCCAGAGCATTCCATTCTTTGGATTGGGGTCCTGTTGGCAAGCTTGTCACCACCTTTGCCTCCACTTATTAGTGTAGTTGGATAGAGTTAGTTACCGTATATATATATATACCTTTACAGCCAGCACCCGAAGAAAACTTAGGGTTCTCCAAAATACCCAGGGTTTTCACTGGAAACCCAGGGTTTGCGTTGTTCATCGTTCTTTGCATTTGAGCACGTGCATACTGATGCGGCAATGTCTTGTTTGAGTATCGAGACTACGGGTGTCAGTTCAGAAGATTTGCTTTTTTTTGCACCCAAAAGTCGTTCGGCATCTGACCTCAAACCCGTGATTTTTTTCACGGGTTTGCACGGGTAAATCATGGGTTTAGCACGGGTAAATCACGGGTTTGAAAAGATAGGGTTTTTCAATAAAGACGGTGTTTTTCAAGGAAATCACGGGTTAGCACGGGTAAATCACGGGTTCAGCACGGGAAAATCACGGGTTCTACCTCACACCTGAACTTTTCCCGATAAAATTCAAGCAAGTGTCAACAAACCATATCAATGGAACGAAATGGAACGAAAAAAGAAATTGGATAGCCACCCGGATTGTTCAGCATGCAAAGGAATTCAATCAACTTTACCTCAGCAGGCAGATTGAGAGAATACCCGGGGTTTTCCCGAGAAACCCGAGGTTTTTCCCATTTTGCAAGAATACCCGGGGTTTGTCCGCATACCCGAGGAAAAGTTAGGGTCCCGGCTGGCAGGGTATATATAATATATATATATATACATTTTTTTTTGGCTGAAACTTAGGAAGGGGCTCTCTTGAGCGTGTATGCATCTTTTTCAGGCACTGATAGATCAACCACATTCACAGCTGGCATTTGCGGATCAGGTCTGTGGTCGAGCAGGCCGCGCAACCTCGCTGCTGGGGCCAGACATGATGGACAGCTGACATGCTGACGGTACTGATATGGATGTGTATACTTTCAATAGGGAGATAAACCCAATCAATGGTTTTGAGAGGTCTATCTATCTATCTATCTATATATATATCTATATAATATATATATATATATTATATATGCAAACTGTTGACCTGCTTCGGGCGCGGATATGGGTTCTTCAGGCATAAGAGAAGGAGCTCTTTGCGGCCCATGGAACAAGAACAGGCACCCAGCGGAACCATTCAGTCTGACCAGTAGTATGGGCCACAGGAGCTGGATGTCTCACACCGCGTGGGGTTGTATCATGTATCGCACATACTGCCAATGCTGGTTGAAAGAGAAAGAACGCTCTTGTGGCGTGACAGTCATTTGTGGTCAAGGAGGTCGGGTCACTGGTTCGTCAGTCTTGCCATGGCTGAATGTCAGTCATGTTTGAAGACTTTGTTGAGACTGACAAGACATGGGGCGGCTTTGTCTGCTTGCCACAAAAATAAAGTCATTTCGCCTGAAATAAGCTTTCTCATGTCATGGTTCCTCCAAAAATTAATCTTTGAGCAAAGTTGACAACGATAAGACCCTGAACCGATTCACCATTCAAACTGTCTGAGAAATATATACCAAGTGGCCAAGTGGTGAATAAATGCATGCTGTCATGTGCTGGATGTTTTCAAGCTGGAGATGCACCTGTGACATCCTGCGACCACTGTTGCAGAGAAACGAAAGGTCTTCAAATTGGCCACTGTTAAAAACTGTATCATAGCTCGGAAACCAACCATGAAAGAAAGACCAACAGATGTCCCTTTCACACCTCCTTCGCTTTCGTTTCCCGGAAAGCATTGATTTCTTGTCCTTTCCCTTTCGTAATCTGGCCAAAACTCATCCAAATCCATCCAAATCCTTCGTCTTCTTTCCCCTGACTCCTGCTCCTGCTCGCCCTTTCGGATGCGTCTGAAGTTTGTGTCCTCAAGGTGCCACCCCAGGTGCCACAATCACCTCTTTGAATCGTTGGATCATGCGCTGTGCCTGCTGTGCCTGCTGGTGGTTCATCAAGGCGCAAGCGCCGCAAGCGCCCGCTTATGCTTTTGCTTCGTGCCTGCCAATGACAGCGTCCTGCCCCAGCAATTACTTTCTCAGACTCACTCCTTTGAAAAGCCACACTTGTCTATCTCCCAACCCTCAGAATTAAATGTAATTCCTATAAGAAATGAAAGAAAACGGACAAACCGACAAACATCAACCTGCGACCACCCAGCAACCATTTGCTTCCTCCAAACGAGGTTGGAACCGATTCCTCGACAGCTTGAAGTTAGAGCACAAGCTGGAGTTCGAGGAGGGCGACGTCGGCATCGCAGGCCCGTCTAAAACCGAAGCCTCGTAATAACACCCATGTAACGTGGGCCCTGACAGATGAAAACATATGAAAAGACCCTTAGCAGTTAACTTAGATATCAATCGGTTTACATAACGTTTTCCAAAAAAGATCGAATCAGAGATCTCTGGTCAACTTGGGAATTGTAATATTTTGCAATGCAACCTGGATCTCTGGCAAACTAGACTTCCGAAGTCACCTATCTGATATCTGACAGATTTGTGGGAGTCCATGGATGTCCATGGTCCGAGTTTTTTGGATGTCCACGTGTTGGACTCTTGTTTGGGCGGTTCGGGCCAAAAGTTAGGAAATCGCTTGTGTTCATCGTTAGATCCACAGATTGGCCGGGTCAATTGCCGTGGAAAAGCTCGTTGCGACGGGTTCCATACCTTCAGGTGGTATTCAAGTGACCGAGCCATCTTGGGCAGCTCGGCTGATCAGCTTCGCCAGTGAACGACGGTGACCGGATGGATTGGGGTCTCCCCGAACGCACGAGCGAACGCACGAGCGAAGCGCTTTCGAACACCGAACCGAACCGTTTGTGGATCGCTCATGCATGCGAACGCTTCGTTTGGAGCTGATGGCAGTCTAGGCTTCGATCCTGGGGACCTGAGACGCTCCCAGGGGAGACGTATTGATACGCCAGCATGCCGGCCGAGCGGCGCAGCGGCGCAGGGTCATGTCAAGAGGGCTTGGCGAGACCCGGAAAATCACCAGGCAACATACATCAAATATATCATCATCGTATATAATCACATATATATGTATTATCTATACAAGGGCTATACAGTACTTTTCTTGTGAATATCAAGAAGACCCCAGTGGTCTGCCTCTGGTATAGGATCCATGGGTTGCAATCATGTGCAGAGTCGTAGAAGATGTGGGATCTACTTACCCAAACTACTATATCTACAGGTTGCTTTCTGGCAGGGCCGCGCTGCAGTTTTGGTTTAGATGTTGAGGTTTGTTGTGTGTCTTTATCTCTAGACTAGATGCAACGTTAGAGATCAATTGCCATCAGGTTACTGAAATACTGCTACCCTATCCAGAACCTTGTTCAGAACGTCTTTGCCAGTGCATGAGATTTATATAAATTGAATTAAATTGATGAACCAATCAACATTCAAGGGCAATCCCACGGAAATCAATAGGGTTGCACAATATTGCATGCCGTATAGGTCTGTCATGTGGGATCTTGCTGTACAAGTTTCAATGTAGTAGTGTTGAGGGGTTGTTGTGACTCAAGAATTGAGAGTCTACGTCAGACAGACAGTTGACTTTTCAATCCTCGTTGTCGTGAGATTGTGATCCAGCAACTGGAATTCGATGTCTCCTAACACGACATCGAGGTGGGTTGTTTTCCTATGTGTTCTTTTTTTTGTATGGAAATTGGGTATACTACGTTACATTATGTTCTGCTGATTTTGGCCTTCTATAGATTTGTGCAGACGTTTCAGGGCACAAGATTAGTGTCGAATCAGCAGTACTGAAAACACACCAGGAAAATAGACCCGGTTTTTTGTCTTTTTCTGAGGTTCCCCAACATTGTTAAACTTGAGGTTATTTAGACTCTGGACATTCCTTCAATCTCATCAAATCCGATGCCACCCTTGGTATTGACTGTAGAGCTTGCTGGCCGTCACCCCACCTATTTGCCCAGGCGCACCCGACCACGGTGCAGAGCTCAGGTGGAAAAAATTGTGTCCCGCATCATCACGCCGATCACTTTTCTTGTTCAATTTCATGAAATGGATATCGGCACACCGTTTCCAACCAGATGGAACAGATCTAAACAAGGCTAAGGCCATATGGCATCATATGGCCATATTAATTGTTTTGGGGGGATTTTAGCAGGGAAGGTGATCACGACTATAAAAGCCACTTGGTCCTTTTGATCCTTAGAAGCTACTTGGAGGCCATCGCTATTGGTAACAAGAAGCTATTAGTAGCTTCTGCCATTACTACTAGTAGGAAATAGCTTTTGTTCAGAAAGTCGTCCGATACTTTGTGCGGTTGAGAGACCTGCTTTGGCGTCTCATGAGGAGCACACGATCTCAGATGTAGAGTCTCATAGAGCAAATTCTCCCACTTCCATGCTTCTGGGGCCACCAACATTGCTGAACATGGTTCTTTCATGTTCTTTTGGGGGTTTCAGGGCTCGGCTCAGAAAACCCCACCCCCCTCCCACCACACGATTTTGTATCGACTCCAAGCTCACATCAGTCTGTGGGTGTCGACCACGTTGATAGACCCATCCTCACGTATGATGCATACATCATGATCATCATCATCATCATCATCATCATCATCATCATCATCATCATCATCATCATCATCCTCATCCTCATCCTCATCCTCATCCTCATCCTCATCATCATCATCATCATCACCATCATCACCATCATTATCATCATCATCATCATCATCATCTACATCATACATCATACATCATCATACATCATCATACATATCATACATCATCATACATCATCATACATCATCATACATCATCATACTCATCATACATATACCACGTGACCAAAGATGACTATACAAGAAGATTCACGACCCAAAATGGGCAGGGCTGTTGAACTCACGACTCACATGGCGACCAAGGTGGATTCCATTGTACGATTCGGTGGATCAACCTCCACCAACATGCCATGGCCAGAGGATGATCGCCTCTACGGCGATGATGATGCTTGGCAGAAGTTGTGGAACAATGACTTTGTGGAATCTCGTTGTATCCAAAAGGTGAAAGATGGTGAAGGTAAGCTCAATTCAGCTCATATTAGTGGCACCATGTGACACATGTGACAGTGTAAATCACACGCTTGCAACGCTTGCAACGCTGCATGGGGATCCTCGAGACCTCAGTCATGACGCCACGGCATGCTTACCTCGTGTCGCGCAAGGATCGTTTCGAGCGTTTGGAGAAGTTGTCGGGAGCTGAGCAACATCGGTACGTGTGATACCGCACAGTGAGAAGAAATCAGAGACTTCTTGGATTTTTCACAGATTTGATTGCTTGTCTTTCCATAGACAAATGCTTTTTGGTGGGTTCCTTTTTAATGCTTAGATGAACTATGAATCCACAGCAATCATCGGCAATCCAAACGAGACCACTCTGAAGGTTCTGCTTGTTTGTCGCTGCACCCTAATTTGATCAATTATTTGATGCCGCGTTCTCTGGGTTTGCATCCAAGTATCATAAAGTTTCATAGTGTTTCCCTGAAAACAGGTCTAGTCTTGCAGTCTCGAGTTTTAGAGAGGCAAATCGGCAAACCATTAGCTTTATAGGCGTCTCCACCTTTGACATTCGGGATGTCCCTTTTTTCGCATGTCATAGCTTCGCATGGTTCGTGACTCCGTGCCTCTTCAGGGACCTGGCCTGGGTTTTGGGTTCGAGCCACTCCAAAGCCGACAGAAAGCGGCTCCAAATGTCTTATGTCCAAACTGTGCATTCTCTGAACTCCTTAGAAACAGATAGGTCCTTCTGAGTGAAGAACATCAGCACACTGAATTCAGCACTTCTCTTGTTCGACTCCTGGTCTCCGAAAAGGAGCCCCGTTTGGGAGGGGTGCCTTTTCGTCTTCCCAGGCCAAAAGGTCGGGTGGAGACGACCGCACCGCTCCACCGAGGATTGTGCGGTGCTCCAAGGGAAAGAAGAGCCGATCGAAGCTCTCGGGAACAGGCGCGGAGTCGGCGGCGAAGTAGGACGAAGGAGGGGTCGGTTCGCGCGCGTTCGCGCGCGTTCGCGCTTTTCGCTTCGAGACCTGCGCGCGCGCGCGCGCATTCCGAACGCGCCGGCGCGAGAACGGAAGGTCAGGAATAGTACAGCATGTACTTACGTATATTAGGATTCATTAGGTACTGTAAGATTTTTAGACATGATGTGGCTCGGGACCTGGAGGGTCTCAACCAGGCATAAAAACCAGACAGGGAGCTGCCCTGATCAAGAATTGAAGTAGGTTTTTTGGCGTTTCCGTCGCAAACCCTTCCGACATCATCTGAAATCCATCAGATTATTAGCTGGGTTTTGAATCCGTTTTTTTGTGGTTTTGCCAAATCAATCAGCCCCATTGTGCATCCAGGTGACACCTCCTCAAGAATGGAGAGTGGAGGAGGCCTTTTGCTGTGATTGAGCAGCCTGTGGAACTTGGGAGTGCTTGAGGTAGTCAATGGCAGTGCGCTTTTTCACACAATGCATATATTGCATATCAAATCATGTTCATTTTCGGATGCTTTTCTATAGTGATACCGATTTTCTTCCCCATCACACAAAGTTCGTTCGCCCTCTCTCATATGGCCTCTCACTGGGACCCTGTAAGGCCTTCTGCTGATTTCTTGTTCTGAGAGTCACATTCGGTGACACTCTGAGCCAAAGCGTGTGGGCAGGTTCAATCAAGTCCGGCTCCTCCAATGACTCCGACTAGAAGAACCGAGCACAGCTGGGCAATCCTGGGCTCTGGTAAAGTGGAGCCAATGCGCAGATAGGTGCACTCTCTATTCTGGAGTTCTGCATGTAGACATGGCGAGCAGAGCACGAGACTAGGCTTGCAATCTTGAGAATTCAGAGCCATTTTTCTGGCCTCTTGGCTGGTTCAACACTGCATGGGTCAGGCGAATCCGTCTGCTTTATGTAGAAGACTGTGACTTTTTCTGCCCTTGGCGTTTGAGCTTTTGACACGACATTGCAAAAAAAGTAAAGGGATGGCAAACACCCGCAGGGTCAGTAGAAAAACGGGGAGACCCGCGAAGAAGCAGCGATGTCATCGCGATAGATGCGGAGAGCAGAGTCACAGCACTTTTTTCGGCGAAGGAATGGCGCCCAGATGTTCTTGGAGATAGCTACTTCGGGTTTAGGCGACAGGTCTTGAAGAATGCGCTGAAACTGAGGTGAATGGTTTCTTATGTTGAGATTGAAACAGGATGAAGATGGATGAAGCATGTCCAGATGCATGTTTGGTTCAGACTAGAACATGTTCAATCCATTCACATTACAAATCTACTGATCGTTGAGTGTGGTTTTGAATGGTTTTGACATGCTTTGACTTTTCCAACTTTCCATGAGCATCTCCTTGCAGTCTCGCAGGGATAGCATTGGCACTCGCCCCCTCCCACCAGTGGAGGCCTCGTTGTAATGTCCATGCTTGTTGCAGACGCGGGGGGTTGAATGCGACAAAAATCTGCGACTCGCAATGACACGGTAAGGCATTGGTCTTCAAGCATCCAAAGAAATCCTGCCTGCATGTATAGATTGTTGGTCATGTAACTCGCTAGGAATTGAACATATGTTCAAGAAACACTGCAGGGCCTGCAGCCCCGCAGGGCCTTGCAGGGCCCTGCAGTCCTGGGTGCAGATTCCAGAATCATTTTCCACAGCCCAGAAACTCTTCATTTCCGCAGCAACGAATGGCTGCACTGACTGGATCTTGGAGCATGTTGAGTAATGATGTGCGTGCCGCTTGCGGCCCAAGAGAAACTCCACAGTTTCAAAGCGCATGTCCAAGAAACACACACAAAGCTCGATGTTTGAACCTTGGGCTAGGTCCCCGCTGACCGCTCTTGGAGTAGGAAGCTTATGCGGAAAAGTAGGGTTCACCACCACCACCCTGGGGTGGGGGAGATCTTTGTGACTTTGGTAGGTGACCAGCGGTCTCTTCTGCCCACCGTGCTTCGTCCGGGGGACGAAGGAGACTGCCGGTGGTTGGGCCGTCGGCGGTGGTCGATCCAAAGCCTTCGGCGGTCTTCCGTTGTAGCCGGCGGACCACAAACCGGGAGTCAGAGGAGTCATAAACGAAACATGTCTCCCAATATTTTCCAATGTGGCAAGTGGGTAAGGGGTTGGAATTTCGAGGTTATTGTTCTCTTTGCCACACAGAAGGACCGCCCAAAGTAACCCAAAGCTGTGTTTTTCATCGTTTTTCTATGTGTTTCATCAATCTATGAAAACCAGATGCAGAATTCCACCAGGTTTGGTTCCGTCCAGGTTTTCAGGCGAAGGATCGTTTCCGTTTGACTGAAAACGCATCCACCGATGTCCTAGTGTCCATCCAGCCAAGGTGCCACCTGCAACACCAGAATCCAACAGATCCAACAGGCAAGGCAAATCGAGTCAGGTTTGAAACCACCTGATCAAGTACGTGTTGTTTCAGTGAGGTTACCTCCCGCCCCTCAGACCTGACGTCGCCTCGACTGCGACGTCAGAGCGTAAGCATGTCCGCAAAGATGTGGAACGCTACAATTACGAGGGACGTGATGTGCAGAACCAACCCGCCAGAAACAACCAGATCCACTGTAATTCACTGCAACTCTTGTCTTATTGAAAGGCTTGAACGGCTGGGTGGCAGCACCGAAAGATGACTCGACACTCGCTGCACCATTCCAGTTCTTGTTTTTATTGCCAAGCTGCCACATTGAAGTTCAAAAGTAGGCTCTCGGCACCAACTTCCAAAGATCACCAACTTCAGTCAGGCCAGACATTGCGGGCGGGTGCCTCACCAAACGGGTTCCTTAAACGGGTTCCTCACATCCCAGTGCTCATGTGACACTGCACCGGGGTCGAGCGATCACTGTGGCCAACAAAGGTCGCAGTCAGTGATAGGGCCACTACCCTCAACAACCAAGACCAAACAACCTGCAAAACTAAAAAGAAACATCAGGATGTCAGCATCCTGATAGCATGATCGCGGGAAGTGATTCCGTTTTCTCAGTTCACTGCTTTGACCATTGCGGATCTCAGGAGGCTCTTGTTCTTGGAGCTGGGTCAGCCCTGCTTGTTCGACTTGCTTCCTTCTTTGCAGGGTCTAAGATGGCTTTGCGGTTTCCGGGGTTCGCATTTCTTGGACATACTGTACGCAGCCCTCTTACCATCCATATCAATGTAACTAATCAGTCTCTAGATTTGCAGAAAGAGCTAGTAAATCTATTCTGATTTCAACTGGCGCTCTCGTATCCATGATGCACTATTGCAGCAACTAAATAATGACCCTTCGTGCAACATGATGCAACTATATGTGTCACAATGTCCCACCGCAATTCCTTTGCCAGGGGCCCACCCTCGAAAGGCAGATCCATAGAGAACAGAGAACATGGATCATTTAGAGAACATGACTCCTTTTTCCTTGGGCCAAACACACTCGGAGGGTGAGAAGAAGAGCCGATTTTCTACAGAAATCGTCACTCAAAGTCCCCACAAAACAGTTCACCCTTCAGGTGTTTCTGTGGGGGATGGTCGTTCACGTTTGCTCCACCGTCATGGTCATTAGTTAATCCACATATGTTTTCATATCCTGGTCCTAGGTAAGCAATGGTATCATAAATATATACATACCAAAGTCACATGCGATTGACTGGGTGTAGTACTGGGTCGTTGAGTCGTGCGCAGACGCAGACGAGATGGGGTTGATGATGGGGTGGGACGAAAATAGGAGTTTTTCAGAGCAAACTGGAGATCACCCGAAGTCAGTGGGGTTCGTGACTTTCAAAACTCGTTTTCGTTGGCATCCCGGCATCCCGATCGGACTCATGCTGACACCAGGTGTTTTTTTTTGCCGATCAGTGAATGCTCACAACTCAAAGCCTAAAAAATAACAATATCGTGAATACATGTTGCCAGCTTCTGCCTGCCATGCGAATGTAAAAGGAGAACGCCATGAACACCTGTTTGTTTGGGGTAGTCACCGGTAGCCCCCCATTTGGAGAACGTATGCCAGCCACAGTAGTGCCAGAATTGCTCAATTGCCATTTGCAAGTGTCTCGAGGAGCAAGACAGCAATAAGAGTCACTGGCAGCACGCTTTTGGTCAAAACTCTTAATGGGCAGTGTCTCTTTTGCTCTCTATTTGTGGGGGTTTACGGCCAGATGGTGCATCTTGGAAAAGGCACAGCGACTACTTCAAATCCAAACGGCACAGGGCCGCCATGGTGCAGACGGTCATGCGCTTGGGACATGAAGGTGATCCGACTGCCAGTAAGGCCATGCGCCAGCCATGGGGTGTGGGATTTGCCATCAAAGCTAAAGGTATGGAACTGCGTGCTGGTTGGCTCTTCATTTTGCAGGTCTTACTCTTTTGGCTGAGTTTCGGATCAAATTGGTTTCTGCTATATATGTGTCGTGTTCAAAGCTGGAATTCAGTGTTTCATGAATGAAAAGGCTCTCATCCGGGTTCAATGGAAGCCTTTGAAGCACAAGAGACCTTGCCTTTTTCACCTAGTAGTTGCACAATCAAGCAGAACCTGTAACATGTACACTATATATATATATAAACTGATGCTATATAGCTTAGGTTGAACTAATAAGTATATATAGACAAGCACCACTATAGAAGTGGTTTGTATGGTTTCGTGTGCCTTCAGATCTCAAAAAAGAACCGCCCAACTCCTCATGCGCCTCACAGCTGCGCTAGGTGGAGTGCCACCGCCGCGACGCGCGGCGGGAACGCTTTGACTCCACGCAGGCGGGAGGAAGCACTCCAGTGGTCCAAGCCATCGCCTCATCATGTTCCCTGTATATTTTCTGTAGTATCTTGGATCTCTTGTATCAAGAGAAAGACTGTACTGAGAAATGAACGAGAGCAGGGTGAAGCTCCGGGATATATATATATATATATTACATTATATTATAATCTATCATTGTAACTATAATGAGATGTCTTGAACTTCCGCTGAGCGACATGGGATGTTTGCCACATAGGGCGAGCAAATGGGAAGATCTCCCAAATCCCATCAAATTCCCGAGCAAATGGGAAGATTGAACAGCTCATTTGTATCACTGCGGGGAGTTTACTAGACGCCTTGAGCCATGATCACGGTGCTCCTTCAGTCTGAAGAAGTGCTTTTGTGGGAAAGACGCACCAGGCTTTTTTTGGCTGAATGCTTAATGATATGCGTTGGATTTCAAACTACTTGTACCACTAGTATATACTAGTATAGTAGTTCTTTGGAATCATTAGCCAAGCATCTTGATGCACTTTGCCCATCAAAAATAACTTCCCTTTCCATGAGGGGCACCAGTGGAGTCGGTTGCGGGTTCCCATGTGGACTGTGGTCGCAGGCGACGAAGGGCACGGCTCAGCCATTAGGCGCCGGTTCCGGGGCAGAGGTCTACATTCGCAAGTCGCTGGGGAAACGGTCCACAGGTTTTGATTCATGTTCCAACCCGCTGGTGTTCCAACTCCAGGTTTTTGGCCTGTTCCATGCGACATCGTGGAATTTGGATGGTTCGAACACTTGGTGTGCATCCATTGGCATGTTTCGGGGGCTTCCATGTTTTTTTTTGAGCCACACCTTATTCACCAAGTGGCATGGAAATTCGGTGAGTGAACACCGACGAACCGGTGGTGTTCAACGGCGATCGAAGTCGTTGCTGGTCGAAGTCGTTGCGTCTGGGGCCGCTCCGCTAGTCGAAGCTCGTTGGCAACAGAACAGTTTATCTTCGTTTCTCTGCGATCCAAGCGATCCATCGACGTGCAGAGCAGAGATTTTTGTGTGGATCGTCTAACAGTTCTCTGCTCATTGAACTTCGAATCAGAGTTAAAGAGTCTGAGATGATACGAACGGAACTCAGAGTGCAAATGGTCATCTCAACACCTGCAAAACGGAACGGTCTTACATGTCGCTTACATGGGTGAGTTGGTGCCATGTGTCTCAAAAGTCCGCGCTTTCGAAGTACGCAGCGATGTGTTTTTTTTAAAGGAAGAAGACATCACAGCTTATCGGGAAGGACATCTTTAACACCTTAAGGTCATAGCTCCTGCCATGTTCCAACCCGTTCAGGTCGATCGTCGGACGAAGAACGAAGCGACGCGGGGAGAAACGCGCGTTTCGCAGCACGACGCTGTTCGCTGCGCGGCGAGTTTCGCGCGCAGTGAGTAACTCTGCTGCCGTGGTGGGCACCAGCAACGCCCTTTTTCGGCCAGGGGGCCAAGCAGTTAGGCGGTCGGGGGGGTGTCAAGCTGTGTCCACCGTGCGATCGGTTTGAGACGTAACGGACGGTGGAGCAGTGAAACACAACTGGATCGACAGATGAACTTCGGCATGGGGTGGGAGCTGGTTTGATTCTGGGTTGCCATGTTCATCCATGTTCTATTCACTTTGGAAGAGCAATTTTACGGCCCAGATAGATCTGACTGGGATCATTTTTCGCCGGTCAGACGGTAATGAGCGAGTCGTCAGACAGGCCGATCATTAGGCCTTGGTTTTCAATCCACTTCTCGACGTTTTTCTCGGTGGGTATTTTAGAGCCATGAAATCAGACAGGCACTTGGTCAACGATCTGATGGTTCTGGTTTTGGCTAAGTGCCAAAAGTAGATGGTTCTACCAATATGGCTTGAACACCCAGGCCATTCATCGACTTTCAGTATTCTGGTCAACGTGGAACACCCATGGACCGATCCACTGGACCTCCTCGAGGCCTTTCTTGCGGCTCCGTTCGGCACCGGACCCTGCAGCAGTGCGTCCGGAAGAGGCCGGATCATGGTGAGATTGACTCAAAGCCGCTACAATATATATATATATATAATACAATAGTATATATAAAGATAGTTTTAATTAAGTATATTTAATATATATGGGCTTGTCTTTGTTTTAGGTGTCCAGTTTATGTAGGACTGAGATGTTCGACTTAGGTGAAGCATACCCCCGAAGCATACCCTCTGGAAATGCTACTACTTTAGTCTTCACACTGCGCGAAGCATACCCCAAAGCATACCCCCGAAGCATACCTCCGAAGCATACCCCATAGTCAAACATCCCGGCCCGGGAACCTTAAAAAAATACAAACCCATATATATATATATATATATATTCTAGAAATTGAGAGGACATGCAAAAGCAAAGGGGTACACCACAGTGACAACCCAACCTAACACAGCAGTCGTACTACACCACAAATTGCGCCGACGCTGAGGTGCTCAAAGCATCTTTGAGTGCACTATTGAAGGAGTCCACCCAGCCATCCGGTGGCTGGGGAGCTGTTCGGGTGCTCAATGTGTGCTGTTCGGATGGCCTTCATGGATATGTGTTGGCTGAAACCGAATATTGAGTCACATAGCCTTATTGACCCTGAAGCTATGAGAGATTCTAGGAGGCGAGCTGGCAAATTTCCTACTACAGACTTGAGCTTTCCAGAGAAAGAGAAGAGAAGAGAAGAGCAGAGCAGAGCAGAGCACAGGAGAGAGAGAGAGAGAGAGAGAGCAAGCGATTGATGGATGGATCGAGGGATGGAGGGACGGAGGGAGGAAAAGAAAAGGAACAGATCCCTGCATTAATTATCCTTTCTGATTTTTCTGCCTGGATTCCAACGTGAGGTTCGCGAGCAGCTTTGGAGCATTCGACAGGAGAACAAGCAATGGGTGAATCTTGCTGCATGTGCACCAGCCAAAGAAGAGGTTGAAGGGGAGCTCATATGTCAACTAAACCAACAATACAATACAAGACCAAATTCAATAGTCCCGCAGTTCTTGTTGAAAGTTGTAGGTTCTTTTTGACGTCCAAGGAGTTCTGGACTGGAACGTGATTCCACTGCATGAAACTGCACAGATTGGTCGAGGGACACAAAAAGTGGAATGGCAGGACCTTTTGGTCCAGCACCTTCATCGCAGCAAACTCGCCTCTGAGGTGGTGGGTTGGTAGAGTTGGCCAGTGAACTTTGTGTTTAGGTGGCAGTCTTTCTTTGGAGATGGATGTCCCGGCTGGTGTTGTGGGACTCCCATCCCCAAAAACTACTTAAATCCATTTGGTGTACGGTGTACTACGCATCTCTACTTTGTCGCATCCACCAGGTGCTTGAGCAGGGAGCCCATTTATTCTGGGACAAACTCAAGATTTGTTGGGCCCAGAGATTGTTTGAGACACCAGGGTTGAGGCGTTGAGCAGAAAGGTGGTTGGGTGAGCAGGTGTCATAGACATGTGGGAAAGTCGTTGTGTTCTTACATTTCTCCGCCTTTCTTTTTTTTTATTGTCTTGGGAAGATCCACATTCATTTGCGGATTCGACGAGTCAGGTATATAATCAAGCGAATCAAGCCGACTCGCGAGAGAGTCCTGCGTTCCAAAAAAAAAACATCGGGTCGGAGTAGTTTGGTCCCATCACTTGACCAATTTCAAGGGTGGCTGACTTTTCCCTTTCCCTGGTCGATCAACATACCCACTGAAGGCCTCCGTTCGAATGTTAAACTGCTAAATGCCCAGATCCTTAGGAGTTCAGAGGCGGCTCGCAGCCAACACCAACACCGGTGAAGGCAGAACAGAGAGTCAGAACTGAGGTTGGTCGAGATGCTATCAAAGACATGTCCAAACGGCCCATTTCTGCATAATTCTGCTATCTTCAGAAGGGCGATCATGCAGAAGGAAGTAGACCCGTTCTGAGTGTTGATGTGGTTCATGGGTCAACGGGAAGCACCTCGTTTCACTGGCTCCGCCACCAAGCTGCGCGCCTCCGCCACCGGTGGCCCGATTTCGCTGGAAATTCAGACTTCATCCCAGATTCCGCTGACATGAGCAGTCAATGAGTCCAGCAGCGGCAAGTCCTTCATGTGAAGATAGCGGAAGCACATGTGGGAAGGCCAGTGGGAATGCCCAGTGATTGGTTTGCTATCGATGCTTACTATTTGTTGAACGAGGCTGAAGAGGTCGGAGAAAGCCTCTACCTGCTACTTCTGGCCAAGCCGAAGCCAAACAATATCATCCTCCCATCTTGAACTTGGTCCAGACGCCATGCTTTTGCCCCGTGCATTCCATGACTGAGTGGGGAGGCGGGACACCCGACAAATGGCCGCCACGTTGAAGATCTGAGAATTAGTTGGACCTTCGATCGATCGCTATCAGAAGCCAACACAAGCCTTTCTTTAGGACTGTACTTGTCATATTTTCCCACCCTCACGTGTCACCTCACCTCTACCCTCCAAGCTACTCAGCTACTCGAACCCGACGGACCCCTTCTTCAGCCCTGTGGAATCGGTCGAAGAACGACGCGAACCAGGCACTGAACCGGTCGGCACTGAAGACGCATGGATGAGAATGACACTGAGGAGCATGATGCCAGAATGACACTGAAGCCTTTGTATACAATCTCCTTACATCTCCTTACCTACAGCTTGAGAGTTTCAGCCACTGAACCGTTGAAATGTGGCATTTTGGTTGACTGCAGGATCCTTCAGAGGAGGTCACGGGCTAAGCGGAGCTGTGGCAACGAAACGGCAGGTGAAAGAAGCTGAACTAGCTGACCTCTCATGATGAACTCACAAAATTGACCTGTTTTAATTCAATCCTCCGCTGACCCATCGAGTTGTTCTATATAAGAGACGAGAGGGAGAAGAGCCTGAAGCATCTATAGGGGCTATAGTAAGGATGGTGACGCACGCCATGTGCCTTTCTAGACTCTGAAAGGGTTTTCTGTATCTCAGGAGTCTGGAGGTCAGGACTTGGAGACGTGAACAATCACCTCCACCCCGGACCTCACCCCGGACCTCACCCCGGACCTCCACACAGCAGGTGACCGACTTAGGCCACTTGGCGATGAGGGCTGACTCGGCCGAACGGGGCAGGGGGCAGGGCCGAAGGGTGCAGGCGCTGCCGGCTGAGGGGGCGGGGACCCCTCCCAAAAAGCAATGCCACAATCCGGTGTTCCACCAATCTCCAATCTCCATCCGGTACCAATATCCGGAGAAGGCGTGTCTGCGCATGTCGGGACTTCCAATATTTTTGTTCCACGGCTTCCTATGGCCTCTTTTTGCGGCAAAGAGAGCGGACAAAAACGAGTGGCTCTTTCGCCAGTGAAGGGCATCATGGGCGAATCGATTTTTGGAACCCCCTTCTGGGCGCTTGGATGGTTCGATATATGGGACTGTGGCGAAGCACGAATCGGAATAGACACACCAAGTACACCCTGTACCTTCCAGGGTCACCTCGAGAAGTGGAAGGGTGACAGAACTACGGAATCTATCTGCATGCTGCTAGCCAAGAAGCAAGACCTAAACTGAGGAATGTCCGACTGAGTTAGGAATCCAAGACATGTTTTTCGGATATTTTACGTCCTTTATTTGAGCAAAACCCTCAACTTTTTTGAGGCCTCAAGAAGCAGCATAGGGCCACATGTTGATTTTGTTCGACCTACTTACGGGGAGGGAGAGGCTCCTGAATGTGACCACATGCAAAGTACTGAATATAGACTCTATAGATATATTTACGCCTTTACTATCACTATATGTGGATGGTTTGTTGGACTGTTTGCCATCTCTATGCTTGTTGGGACTTAGATTGGGAGTGATCATGGCGCACTTCAGTCTTCTGCCTTTTCTCTAAAGAAGCAACGCACGAGGCCCCAAGACCTCTTTTCACAGTCACAGAACCCAGGTGTCCAAAAGTATCAGGCGATCCGGCTGGTGCGGGGTGGTACCAGGCGTACCGGAACCATGGAGATCAACCGTCCAGCAGGACCTTAGAGGTCCAGTAGCACTTAATTCCTCCATGTTCCACTTAGCAATTTGGGCTTTAAGACAGGTCAAGCCCATACATGCAGTGGTGCGTCCTAGAACCCTCAGTGGCGAAAGGACACATACTGTAGATTTGCAGTACGACGGATCCTCATATCACTTGAGGAAGTTTAGCAGAGAGTCCCAAGGCTTGAGATTTAGATTTCCTGAGCTTCTCAAGTTCGATCTCCACGTTTCGCCGTGGCGATCTCCATGGCGATCTCCGCCCGTCTTTTGCCGTGAACGCTACCGCAGACCGTGCAAGAAGAGAGCTTGGAGGATGTACAATTCCCCAAGGATGTGGTGGAGGAGGCTCAGCAGGCTGGAAAATCATCTTTTTTCTCTAAAAAGACATTCCACGCATGTTTCATACATTTCTTCCACCGGAATAAACCAAAAGGAAGGCTGCATTCCACTTCGCCAAAGCTGAGTTCTTGACCGGTCCAGGAGATGACCGTTTCCACTTGCAATAGACGTTCTATACTCGCATTTACACTAGTTTCTCACTAACATGGAAGTGGACCACCACCCATGGCCCCATCGTCTTCCCAGTGGCCAGAACCTCGCTGGCGCTGCCGTCCCTCGGATCGCTGCCGTCCCGAGCGGACCGGTGGAACCGGTGGAACACCGGGTGTGGCAGGCCTGGTCGGCCTTTACGATGGCTGCAACCAAGGAGGCCACAGGCGGAGAGTGGGACCAAACGTGACGTGTCACCGACTGGCTGCGAAGGAAGCCAACCGGACTGGAGGGACGGGGAGGACGGAACCCGAAACGGTGAGTCCTTCAGGTTCACCTTTTAAAGGATCTGCATGGATCTCCTGAAGTCTCGGAAGGAGCGAGGAGTTTGGTCTATTTTTTGTTATGAGGAAATGCCAATGGATAGGTGCGAGTGATGAAGGGCATATGCTGCACCATCTTGGACTCTGCACAAAAAGAGTCCTTGTCCTACAGCAACCCCTCCACAGTCATGTCGAAGATGTTTCAATTTTGGCAAAACAGAAGCGCCAATACACCAAGCATCAGAGTGGCCAAGTCGGAGCCAAGATTGGAAACATACATGTTTAATCATTTTTACGCAGGAACGCTGTCTTTTTTTTCTGGAGGTGATGCACAACTTCGTTTTCGCGCTTGGTTCTCGCCTCTTGGACCCTCTTGAATTCAAAAGACTTGCCAGGTGAAGCCCTCTACAGTGCCATCTTCTATGCTGCGCCTGCACTGCAGGGCCTCTTTAAGATTCCCAGGACAGACGCGCCAAACAGACTGAAGGGGCCAAGAAAAGGAATCTCACGTGGACTGCGGACTGCTAACAGCCTCGTTCGGACTGCTGGGGTGGTAGAACATTTGGAATGATGGGTGCCTGACTTGGTCTGCTATATCAATAGAGGATTCAATCCAATCAAACCAAATTGCTAGTCTGTTTCTGCGGTTTTGTATGCTTTTGGCCTCCCTTTGTCCTGTTCTTGTGGTTGTAGCTGATTATATAGGAGTTGGTGGTCAAGGAGGGAGGTGGTTGGTTTGGTTTGGTTCTTTTGGCCTGGTTGATTACGCTAAGACAACGGTCGATTGGACGCCAGTCAGTCCCACTGCAGACGAGACCGGTCAGACCTGCAGGCCAACAATGGCCGCGAGGTTCATGAATGGTGCGGGGACCCACGGGGGAGCTGGATTTCGTGGGAGCCATTGATAGATGATCGGTATATTGTAGTATTATGATGCATTATGTATTTGTGTGTTCAACAGTGTGTCAAAGTTAAAGACGGCCTATGTTCAACACTGGGGTGGGATTGGGCGGCCAAACTCTATTTCCGCAAACTTCCAGATTCTGGAAAGCGTAAAGCAGTAAAGCAAGTAATTGGCATTTGTTTGGTATAGAACGGTATGGACGCTGAGATTTGTGCACTGCCGATGTGGCTTCAGTGTGGCAGGTATCAATGCAGCTGTCGCTGCAGCTCACAAGCCCTCGACCATGAGGGTGCAGGCGAAGTGCGAATCAGTGAGAATCCAATCAGAATTCATTCAGAGTTCAACATTTCTTGCCGAAATGTGTAGATACATCGTGCCCTCCAGTGTTTCTGTTATTTCTTTGTTGTGTCCTGGACAACCACGAACGCTACCGGCTGGCTTTGGACATCTGACAACAGATCGGACGATGATGATGGTTGTGGACTTCTGATGTTGTCGTCGGAACATGTAAAACCTGCACACCCCGGAGTTGCCCCTGATCTCCAATGTCAATAACTGAAGATCTCATCCGCAGTTGTGACTCATACCGGCTCATAGTCTCATCCCAGAGTGACCATTTCGGAAACACAAGGCCGAGGCTTTGGGCTTCCAGCATTTCGACATTGCTGTGGCCCCAGAGGGGGGTTCGCGTGCGGTATCGTGCGGTGAAAAAGAAGCTGCAACGCTGCAGCGCTGCAGAGCGTTGGCAGTTGGTACCTTTTCTCAAAGTCGCCCATCAAACCCACGCTACATCACGCTACAAACGACACCGGTTCCTGTTTTCTAGGTCTTTGGACTGCCTTTGCAAAAGCGACACCGTCTCCGAACTTGACTCCGAAAAAGTCAATCGGGTGTCTGAGGACGGGTGTGTCAAAGCGACCCCCAAAAAGCCTTCTCCGTCGGTCAAGTTCTCGGCTTGCTGAGTGAACTGAGTCGTATACAGGTCATGGCTCCACTGGTCGCACCCAGACACCGACTGACCGGTTGGTTCCTCCGCCGGGTTCGGTGCCGCAACTGCTCGGACCCGGGTGCCGCGACCCGACCACGGCGGTGCACCGAGGAGGTCACCGCCTTGCGCGGAGATATTTTTCGCGAAGCCATTCTGGACGTCCTGGATCTGGAGCGTGGCATGCTCGTGATCTGCGTGTATCTTTGTTTCCTTCCCTTTTTTTTCAGAGATGACTGAGAAAGGAAGGAAAGGATCTGGACCGAAGGGGGGAAGCAAACCCCGATGAATTGGGATGTTCCCCATGGTTTGCACCTCTTCTGATTTGTGGCAGGGGCAAGCCGTATGCCGCATGGTCACCCGTCACCTATCCACCTGGCTACATCCACCTACCACTCCTCCTTTCCCTGCCTCCACGCACCTTTCCTGGTTCACAGTCCCCCTCTCACCGAACTTCACTCTTCGTTCATGCCCTCCATGACGCCAAACTGCTCACCTAAACGCCATCCCGGTCCCATCCGGGATGGACCTATCTCTCTTGCTGATCCACCTGCGCACTCGACCAATCACCACGCACCATCCCAGTCCGACTCCCATCCATTCGGCCCGTGGCCGGGACACGGCGAGACGCGGGAGACAGACGCCGTGGCGGAGCCGGTGTGTTCGACCATCCAGTCCGCGTTTGGAACGAACCATTCCGTATGTTGAATGGCCCGACTGTTGAAGCCCTCAACATGAAGACCGCATGAAGACCGCATGTCCTGGCTGCACACCGGCTTTACTCCGCTTAAATACCCCACTTAATGCTCTGCTTGACTTGCTCCTCCACCGTTCCTACCCCTTTGGTTGACGGTCGTCCGGGGGGCCGTGCCTCTCCGCCTCTCCATGGACCCGATGTGACCGATGTGACTGGGGATGGGAACCCGAGCCTCGGGGTCCTTGTTCATCGACGCTGGAAGGCCAGTGATTGCGCTTCGCTTGGGGACAACAATATATATATATATTATGTATCACTTATAATTCACTATATTTATATATATATTTAAAAGAAAAACAAACAGCAGTGACAAACATGTAGACGCGATGCATTCACGGAGATGGATATAGATATCCCAGTGGGTCAACGCACCAGTTTAACCAGTTCTTTAGTAACGCACCAGTTTAACCGGTGCTTTAGCAAAACTGGGGCTGGAAGCTTAAAAAGGCCGTGAAAAACCCGTGAAAAGGACGTGAAAAACCCGTGAAAAGCCCGTGAAAACAGGGTGAAAGGCCGTGAAAAACCTGTGAAAATTAGGTCTTGGAAGTTGGGAGGTGAAATGCGTCCTTTATGCTAACGCATCAGTTTAACCCGTCCTTTGGACTTGGGCCATATTGGGCATTTGGCTCCTCCGGATCTAGAGGTACCTCGTCACTCGACATCACTCTTTACCCCCAAAACCCTTTGATCAAAAATCGATTCTCACAGCGCCTCGCGCCAGGAGCTGGGTGGCCGCTTCAGCACCAAGGCCAAGCTGGGACTTGCCGTCCAGCGCTCAGATGCGTCGAGTCTTCGACTCCGAGCGGCGCGGCGGCGCTAAGGGGCGGCCCGGTCGGCTGGTCTGTGATTTTCACGGCTGGTCTCGGTTCTCTTCAACATGCTGCTCATTTACACCTGGGTTCAGGCAGTGTGAGTCGACATGTTTAGCATCAATTTGATGGGTGAATGTGAAGTCGAGTGCGGCAGAGGACCCAAGTCTAAACAGAGTCTTGGAGAGGGAACCAGCTCTTTCATGTTTTGCTTATAAATGCTTATTACATATTCAGCTGGAGTGAACATTCTGTTGGTCTTTTGTTGCGAGGGCCAGAAGCCAGACCAGTGCTGCATGCCAAGCATGACTGACTAATCTCTCGCGATGAGAAAGCAAAACCCAGTGGAGGGCGGGCTGCGCCTTTACAGCCACAGCTCACTCGGCCTTCCGGAGTGGGTGGTCATGGAGAGTGGGGAGTCGAAGATACACGCCCAAACGGCCATATAGGAGCGATCGGATGCTATGAACGGGGCTCCTGGCCTTACTACTAGTCACAAGAAGCTCATAGGGGCTCCTGGCATCACTACGAACGGAGCAAGGAGGCCATTGAGGCCATATAGGATTGCAATAAACCAGTTGTCTCGTGAGATCAAACGCAAAACAACACGTGCACCTTCAGCGACTCGGAGTCACTCGAGCGGTCACGTGGGCAGTGATCGATTTGGGCTGCTTCAGGCCATCATCAATTACTTGATTGGCGCCTGTGTCTTTGTTCGCCGGGCCCTCAGGCCGTTGGTGGAGTCCTTTTTCTCATCCAGCCCGACTGTGGCTCAGGGCCTACAGATGGAGGTGCTTCCTATGAACACCACCTGTTGGGGTTTTGATCACCCAGCTCCATTAAAAAAGTGGTCACATTTTGTATCATTTTGTAATGTTCTGCTCTTTGAGGTGTGAGCAAACCACCAGTGACAAGATGTTGGAGCATACGCTGTGCTAGAAGAGAGTTCTTGTGCCACAGTCTGCACCACTGGATGGAAACTGCAGGTTTGGCTGCTCTCCTTAGAAAGAGTTGTAAATGCAGCTGATTCGCAGCCGCTGCCGCCTCCAATGCCACCACCACACCCTCCAATTGGGCAATTTTGATTTGTGATGCACACCCAAATGACACAGCAAAAATCAACAACATCTGGACCCTCATGGACCCCCACGACGAATCTTGGCTGGCTTGTTTACCTAATTAAGAGGTACTGATCCACAGCTGCAGACTGTCCGACTGCAGCACCGGACGAGGTCGAGAGTACGCCGATCGGATTCATGTTTTGCAGCAAAGCTGGGACATGGCCAACCACCAGGCTGGGTATGACGGAGTGGAGCCGGTTTGAATCGAGATCCTCAAAGTGAGCTTTCAAGAGCCCTTTGAAGGGCTCTACGAAGCTCTTGCATGCCAATTTGATCCAATTTGTCCAACTGTCAAACTTACATGTCAAATTTCACTGCAAATTCAGAGAAAATACCAATGGGAAGGATGCAATATTTATCGATTGACTGTGATCCATTTGATCACAAGTCACGTCTTAAGATGTGTTGAGGTGCTGAAATCTGATGACCTGTCATATTGTGTTTGAGACCATGCAAGTATGTAAACAGCAAATCAAGAAGCACAAAGTAGTGCTCAGAGAATGGAATGAGACCAACCATGACTTGACTTTCTGTCGCGTAAGACCTTCAATAAATTGAACTGAGTTGAGGAGGGACCGGGGCAGCTGGCCAAAGTCCATGTTGGTTGGCACAGTAAATTAGGTACAGACATGTCCACCAATTTGTTTGTTCTCCCCGCACGACATCGCTCCCCCAAAGTCAAGAACTATAGCTCAGCGAGAGGCCAATTGTACATACATGGTTCGCGAAAACGGTGGGCGCGAATTGGACATCACGAATGCTCATTCCGCTTTTTTTTGGCCATGAAGGATGCTACAGTACTGTTGGTACAGTGCTCCCGTGCTTTGCCTCAAATACGACAAGATGGAACACTCAGAAGCACCGAACGTTGCCAACTCCCCCAAAAGCCATCGCGAGCCGTCCCGAAAGCGCTGCTCGAGAGGCTGTAAATGCCACTGAGATGGCTCAGGAGGAGGGGGTTCGGCAGAAAGGTCCCTTGTTGTCCAGCGCTCGCGCTTCTTGTAACGGAGGGACTATGAAGTCAGTGGAAACGAAGCTTAGGTGTTCAACAAGCTCTTGCCCACTCACACTGACGGACCTATGTAGTAGATTGTAGTTGGGACATTGCATTGCACTCAACCTATAATATGTATATTATATAGCATCTAGAGGATCGCACTCTTTTCGATCCAACCAAGTGCAGGGTCCCGCCCTTAAAGTACATTTCTCGATTTATGCGTGTTTTGACCAATGGGGAGTTCGATGCCGGATTCACATCGCTCCATAACTTCGTTGGTCAAAACCGCTGAAGCGCTTTGGCTCCATACTCGCACAAGGTCCAACAGAGCAGCGCATAATTTTACGAAGGAAATGAGAGGGTCCCTTCTTCGTGAGAGAGTCCGAAATCATTATTTCGCCCGGAACCCACCGGACCTGTCCTCGAGTCAGGGTCATGTCATTCTTCAAGATCGTTAGATCAATGGCCGTGCGCTTGTCTTCAATGTGGGCGGCCACGTGCTTAGACTTGCTCAGGTTGTCAAATAATGACCTCGAGTCTGTTGCTGCTATCAATGGGGTTCGACCAATTCTTTCTTGCCAGTTGGTCAGATTCATGCGGAATCCTTGGATCTCTGACCACAAAAATCTTACCCAGTAGGATGCTCCGACTCCTTGAGCCATGGCTTGAGCCCCGGCAGCCAATGTGTTTACCGTGCACCTCTTCAACTTGGGATGGTGTAGCCTTTCCATTCCAAGTCTCCATGTCGTCGGAAATCTTCTCGACGATTCCAGGTGTCCTCAAACAATTCACCGTCTATCCATGTAGCACGTTCTGCTTCAAGATCACGGCGTCGACGATTCCTCAAAAACTCTCTAAACTCATCACTGTCGAAGTCGTCTGACATGCCAGCTCCGGCTGACGACACATCACGGCCTCGCACCCGAGACCGGGTTGAACCAACTCCAGCATACTCCAGCATGCTCACCTTCAGCAGCTTCACTTCCATCACTTCTAGGCACCGGCTGGGTGCTTCCATCCGCCATAGCACTACGGGCACTACCTGGAGCTTATTGCTCCGCTACCACTGTGGATAGCATCTACAGGATCACACTCTTTTCGATCCAACCAAGTGCAGGGTCCCGCCCAGCTTGAGGCGACGTTCAAAGTACATTTCTCGATTTATGCGTGTTTTGACCAATGGGGAGTTCGATGCCCGATTCACTGTTTAATATACACAATAATAGATGCAAGCTATAATAAAAACACTTGATTTGGAGCAAAAACCACTTCTGCCTGATGACTGCTTTGAGTACAATGTCTCAAGCGGCAACTAGTCACCAGGGCCTTATCATTATGACGATATGGTTCGTTCTGGCATGTCCTGTAAGAGCAGCAAGCACGCGCCTTCTCCACCGGGTGTGCATCCTTTGCCATTCCCCAGCAAGAAGGCAAAGGCTGCAAGGAGTTGCGAGAAAATAAAACAGAGGATGACAAGGGCGTCCCCAGTGTTTGGTGAGACCAAGGGCCCCAGACGCTCAGCCACAGACGGTCAGCTAGCGTTCTTCTTCCTCCCAGGACGGGCTCTTCGAGTCCTCCGAAAGAGGCGTGCACTCTGCGCGCCGGCACGTTCGCTCGCATGGTCAGGCTATATCCTGGGCGCTCGCGCAATTATTTCTGCTGATTTTGGCGGTTTCGCATGGCAAGAAGGGCCCAGCTTGTGAAGATATTAACAATCAGACATCTTTAAGTTTCCAAAGTGATCTTTTCAACATGTTTCAAGGCTTCAGCCAGAGCTCCAGTTTCTTGGCCGACAAAAAGACATGTTTCCGGATGAAACTCATGACAAGTACCCACCCGTCCACCCGTCTCGCTTGCCACGTGTCTCGTGGGCAGATCCGGATGAGCAGCGCTCGGGTGCTCGGGTGCGCGCTCTTTTGGGAGGAACCCATGGATTTATGGACATCTGAGCGGCTGGTGTATGTGTATATAACGGGTACGCATGGATATAGTATAATGTAGACTCTTGCATTAATAAACCCTTCCATTCCGTTTGAATTGAACATCCTCTTCATATAGGGGGTGTATTGATCAAGAGTCTACATTACCATGGAGATGAAGTTAATACGGACTGCGACTATACGTCAGAAGAAGGAATGAAGTTAATACACTCATACAGATACAGATGCATCATAACTGCGGCTTCTTGTAGATCAAATTTGAAAGTCAGTGTGTTTCGTGGGGCCAGATGCAATACAAACGAAGCATGTAGTAGAATTCTACGTGGAAACTGGTTGCCTTCAAGAATTGCCACTCATTTCACGCTTCAAGTTTTTGTGCTTTGGGGGGCGTATGCGCCGTCATATCGACAGAGTATGTCCGGCGCAACCTGCATTACACCTAACAAGATCTAACAAGCAGTTAGAAAAGGATAAGAAAGCAGAAAAAAACAATATAAACACAGAAAGACAACAAAATGACTGGGGGAAGGGGGGGTGTTGAAAATTCCACTGCATGAGCTTGAATTAACGCTGAGTACCGTCAAAAATCATAAAACATCCAGTAGCTTTGCAGCTTGGAAGCAGCATTTTCGAGGTTGAACCGAAGTAGCAGGGAGTATCGTGCTGGGACGAAAAGGCAGTGAGGATCCGTGTGTGAATTCGGCGCCCAAAAGACAGCACACCACAGTGGGGCGATGCTGCGAATACACACTTAGAAGAAGGCTCGCAAGAGCACGGCACTTTACAATACTCAATACTCCATTGGACGACCTGTCAAAATAGTTGGAGGAAACGGCCCTGTGCAAACGGAATGGTGAAAGAGTCCAAAGAAATGTTTACATAGTTTACATCATCGAGTCAAGATGGAGCTGCACACCGAAATGCCACGTGGCTTCGTTGGATTGGCCAATCGTCTCCAGTGCCCCTGCAAAATTTTAATGTTCATTTGTAACCCGGTTTGACACGCACACACACACACACGGAGTGGCTGATGCCATCAGGCTTGGACTTAGCCGACATGGCCTCTGGTAAGGATGTGGAGGCTTCGCCAGTTTGCTGCGCCAATAGGATCGTCGTGGTCGTCACGGCCCTTTGTGGTTCAACCAAACATCAACGCAAAGGATTGCTCACAGGTTAGTCATCGTTTTTCTCTATAGACCATGAGTTTGTTGATGTTTTTGGGTCTTGTTTCATTTTTGTTCATGCTCAAGTTATTTGCAGCAGCATGTTTATCATATTCACATGAGCTTTGAAAGCTGAGGTCAAAATGTTTGAATTGGGAGACCCTGGGGACGCTCACCTATAAAAGCACATCTTCTCAGCATGGTGTGTGTCTCTGTGTGTGTCTGTCAGTGTGCATGAAGCAATATGTGTACTGCACTCAATAATTTGCCTTTCCAATTGTTCATTCTTGCACTGGGCATGTTGCAAGACTGGAAATTGATGTGAGGTATTCAAGGCTGCTTGTATTCTTCACAATAACAACAAAATTTGAATGACCCACGACCCATCATATTTTTCCCTGGTACGTGTTGGCTACTTTGCTTAGTGTCTCATGGAGGGTATGTATTGTTTTATCTTGTCTTATGCCGTCTTATGCCCATTCATGTCCATTTCGATTCCTCCGCACATGGGTTCTACAAGTTATCTGATTATAATGTCCTATTGATTCCATCCAGATACGTTCGATCCATTCTACAGGTGCCCACAACCTTTGCAGAGATGTTCCACTTCAATGCTGCGGTCATGGGCTTCAACAGCTCCTTTTTCGGCAGCAAAAAAATGCTCCCAACGACAGGTCCCTCCACAAGGGACCTGGTGAAAACCCGGGTACCCTCCCTGGATGGACAACTCCCGTTTGTAGAGGAAAGTAGTCTTCCAAGATCTTCCAAGGGGCAATTGTCTTCCAAGTTGCTTTTGGACCTATATTCGTGGGCATAGCAAAGTCAGACTAAAGTCACCGAACCATAAGGTTTCTTGGGTCTTCCCCCCTTGAAAGGAAACCCTCATTGGTTCTTGGGGTTGGCAGCTGCTGCTCTCAGAAAGATGATTTGGAGGGAGGTCTTTGTGCTGTGGCCACTCAGAAAAGCGCCCAGCACACCCAATCCCTGCTGATGGGGCCCCATGGGGCCCTCCATCAAGCGGTCCACCCGAGGCAAATGGATGAATTCCATCCTTCAGCAAATGGATGACTTGGTCTCCAATGCGGCTGCCTCTTACCGGCTCACCGAGGCGCCCCAGTCGAGTTTCGAGTGGGCGAAGAACGCGAAGAGCTCCGCTCCGTCCATCAGCCGGTTCAAGTGACAGACCAAACACCAAAGAACATGACGCCAAGTGACATGAGCTTTTGTAAGTACCTTCCTTTAGGTCCCCTGTGGGTGAAATGTGGGGTTGGCCGGTGCTGGCATGATTCTTTGTGCATGTTTGTTCGGCGCTCGCCGTGCTTTCTGAAGCACAGGAGTGTTCAGTGCTCTCCCTGGTTTTGGCTCAGTGCCTTGGCAGTGGAGATTCGGCCCAGATGGACTGTGTGATTCCATGCTATATAGGGTACTGAAAAGGTTGCAAGACAGGCTAAAGTAGGCAGCATAGCTCAATCCTAGATTCTTAAGCCCATTTGGCTGCAGTTTTGTGAGGGGGTGTCTACCTGAAACATTGCTTGTGCAGCCGCTTCGATTGGTCCGGCACCAACACCGAAGGGCTTCGGTCTGACCAGGGAAACGGGTTCACAACGCCACACGTTTGACGTTGAGAAGGTATGGAAATACACGGAAAGACCTAGAGTTTGGGCACGCCAAGTGCACTGAACAAGGATCTTAACGGATCACGCGCCGTCCAGGACCGCGCGGTCCAACCGGATCACCACCTGGGATTCATCTGGTTTGGGAGCGAGCCCGGGGTGCCCGACCAAGGCACAGCCAGCCAGTGCTCAGTGAGTGGTCTTCTTAGACAGAAAAAAGGGGATGGTGTGGATGGGAAGTCTGTGAGGGTAGGTCACGCGCCGTAGGTTGCGCGCCACGAATCCAACGGATCATGTCAGATACCCATGTTCGTGGGTTTCTTCCAAACCTTTTTTGGGGCTGAGAATCCCATTGAGTACGGGTACGCATCGAAGACTTGAAACTGTTCCATCCGAAAAAGGCCAAAGGCCTAGTTTCACCTTTTCAAAGAGAATGAATGATCAACTCATGCGATCGTTCGTTCAAGTCAATCGAACGCAACTGGGACCAACCACCGAGGTTCAAAGCGGTGCTCTTGGCCTCCTTGCGCTCCTTGGTGGCCAAGGACGGCGGGCGCCCCACGCTGACGCTCGGGCAGTCGGGTAGCGTGCGACGCGTTCGAGGCGTTGGGTGCTTCTTGATGCGAACAACAGGTGCTCCTCACCAGGTGAAAAGAGTGCCGGATGGTCTACTGGTGGTGATGGTGAGGGAAGAAGAAAAGGACTTTGCCATCCAGGTGCTCACCTTCAGAATGCGGAGGTGGGTGTGTTGGGCTCGATGCAACCCCCTTATGTTGTAGTGAATCGATGGCTCTTGAGTGTGTGTGTGTTGTCAGACATATTGGGTCTATTCGGGTCTCAAGACCTTGCTTACAATATGGTCTTTCGTCTTTTAAACACATACTTTTCACGACCGGAGGTAGGTTCGACACCGACTTCGTCGACTTCGTCGACTTCGTCGACTTCGTCATTCATGACGCAACCGACACCCTGGTGCCTGGTGCCACCTCCATCGACGTGGCAGGATAAAACAGTCACTGAGTCGTCTGAAGTTTCTGGTTTCAGGCAGAGTGACAGAGTGACTCCTTGTGGCATGAAATGGTCAATGTGACTGACCAGTAGTGCAAGCAATAGATGTGGACTAGTATGTGGACTTTCAAGATACTTGGACAATCTTTCGCACACATTTGGACGAGATTCCAGAAGAAAAGCCCAAGTAGGCCGCTGATTGAACGACAGCGTAGATCAGCGTAGTGTTCCAAATGAGGGTGGTCCGTTATTGGACGAATTGGACCGTATACAGATATATATATATATATTATATATATATATATTGTATTAAATACTATATGATATTATCATTATGTGTATATATATATTGTTTTTTATTTTCTTTTTTTTCAGCCCTTTCATCAAACATGCATATTTGCATGACCAGTCAGAGGGAGTGTCCCAAGTCAGGGGGTGCCTACCCTCACGGCGGAATCCCATCGGTGTTGCAGTTGTAAACGAACTGGCAGGCCAATGTGACTTGAAACAAGTGGAGTCGGGATGGACAATTCTTGTGAAGTGTACGTATCCGCTTCATCTCATTCTATCTTGGAATTGCGAACGCGATCCGCATGTTGAGGACTCTGAAAGACGGATTCTCCATGATAGTGGCATCTTTGATGTGTGTTGTCCGTCCAGCTAGCTTTGAAGGACACCATGACTGATGTTTTTGTTGATTTATCATTGTAACGTTTAACATTTTATTACCCTCTGCTAATGCTAAAAGAACCATTTTTGGGGGTTCTTTGGTTGGGATTCCAGGTATGTGATGAGTTCTTTCATCAAAAGCCTGAAATAGGTTTTTACCTGAGGCCACGGAGCATCGAACTGGACAGCTTACAAGTTCTTTGAAGATCCTTTCTCGTCATGTGCTTGCAACGATTATTTAAAAATATTAATATAAGTAGATCTATGCATTTTATTCGAAGCGAAGTCTTTGATGACTTGGTTTGCTGGGCTCGGCATGCGAACTGCGAACTCCACGACCCTTTCTTTTCGCTCCACTACTCCAGGAGTGGAGCACGCAGCACGAAGTGGCCTGGAACTGGTTCTGGGAGACTTGGCATGACACGAAGAGGGCCGAGGCGTTCACAGACTGGATGAGCTCCTCTAGATTCGGAAGCCCTGCAGATGCTGTGGTTTCCATTTGCCACTCAGATTTGCTTATGGCCAAATCAACCCGTTTTGGTCCAGTTACGTTACGTTTGAAGCTGACAGCGGGCCTTAGGTTGGGGGTTACTTGCACAATAATTGGACACAATAATAAGATACACATCTCTCAGGATTATCCAGCAAGAATCCAGCATATTTGTTCACGACAAGAATAAGAGGTGCCCCATCCAGTCCCTCCCTCCCGTCCGTGCGCAAACAATCGAGGAGTTCTGAATAGGATCAAGGCCACCAAATGTATTAGTAGTAGGGTGGTGGCGGTGGTGGTAGTGGTAGTAGTGGCAGTAGTAGCAGGAGGAGTGGTAACAGTAGGTAGTAGGTAGTAGGTAGTCGGTAGTCGGTAGTAGGTAGTAGCAGTAGGTAGTAGGTAGTAGGTAGTAGGTAGTAGGTAGTAGGTAGTAGGTGGTAGGTGGTAGGTGGTAGGTGGTAGGTGGTAGGTGGTAGGTGGTGGTGGTGGTGGTGGTGGTGGTGGTGGTGGTGGTGGTGGTGGTGGTGGTGGTGGTGGTGGTGGGTAGTCATAGTAGTTAAGCAAGAAAGGGTAGCAATCGCAGAACATTAGAAACATAGACATACCTTTAAAAACAACCCTGGGGGAAAAAACACGTTTACTATTACTTTTTTACTATTCCCAACCATGAATTGAACTGTTCAGTGGGTGGGAATAGTTTTGCAAAAACTTGTCTTGTCCCCTCCACTGATTGGTTTTTGACATTAAGGTTTATGTGATCATCGGGCGACAAGAAGGGCAAGATTTGATTGTATACTACTGTAGTTACAAAGTGGATTGTTGCTGTGGAGTTGAATCTTCAATGCCCAAAAGGATTTGGCTTTTTGGTCTGAGTTTATCAGTTTCGATGATTGATACAGAAGGATCCAAGCGAGGCTGAGCAAGTCATTTTTCATGGCAGGTGAGGCAGTGGGGACCTCAAAGCGCAGATTTCGGGGCAAGCGCTGCATTTAAATAATTAACCTCGAGCTAAGCGTCTGCTGCGGGTGCTCTCATATGTGTGTGCTCTTGTGTGCGCTCTCATGCATGTTGTGTCCATTCTCACGTGTCCGCTCGCACGTGCATGCGCTTGCGTGTGTGTGTGTGTGTGTCCCACCCTGTGCCTAAGGGTTTCAACTTTTCACTGTTGTTCTCCCACCAGAATGCAGGGGAGTGGAGCAGGCCTGCAGAGCTCCACTTAACAAAGCTCTCTGCAGTGTCCTGAGGATATCATTGGAGACGTCCAGTGACGTACCTGCGCTGTGATACCACCCTACTTTTCTCGCTGTGTTTTGATTCCATGGTCTTTTCATGATAGTCCCCAAAACTTTTTTTCCAGCAGATGTACAGCAGCTTTGCAGCCGATTGTTTGTGCGATTGGAACATGTTTGTTCAATCATCTACAACTCAGCTGACTCAGCCGCCTTGCCATTTTCTTCGTGGATTATCTCACTGAATGAAACCTATCGAAGTGTGTGGAGCCCTCATGTGTTTATATGCTTTACTCTCATGGCCTGTGTGTTTGAGCTCATATGTGTGGTCTCATGCGCGTGCTCTCATGTGTGTGCTCTCACATGTTTTCTGTCTTACTCTTCCTGTTCGGGGGGCCTCTTGCGGAGATGTTCTTGTTGTTGCTCCGTTTCGTTTGACTTTTGTTTCCTTAAATAACGACATGTTTGTCCGCCCTGCCCACTCCTGACTTGAGGCTGTGCTGATTTTGTTGTTTCGTTTGACTTTCCTATGTTCTGCTCCTTCACTCTGTTAACTCGGTGACGCACAAACACCGAGTTCGACCCAATCCGCACCCATCTCCCAGGACAACATTGTGCGACTCCTTAAGGCTGAAAATGTCAAGCCACAGGTGATTCCGACGGGCGGGAAGTTTGTGTTTGTGCGGCCAACGGAGGGCCACTGTCGAATCATGTTGAGTCGTTCCACAGTGTGGTTCAGTAACTGTAAAATTTGTTCCTGCCTGAATCGAAATATACGTGTTTTTATCAAACAAAATTCAGCAAACACAGATTTTGGACTGTAGTTGCTGGAGGTTCAGATGAACGCCTTGGAGTTATTCATCACTCAGCTGAGTCCAGCCGCTACTTAGCAGCATTTGGTTTGATTGTGTTTGCGCATTTCATGGGTTTCATGTTCGAGACAATTGAAATTAGAGTCACGTGCGTGCGTGATTGCGTGTCAGAATTCAGGGAGCACGAGAACACGTTTAAATGACACGAGAACACGTGCATGCGTTTTCTATTTGTCATGCATCCCTGTAATTGGAGAGAGACACCTCACGTTGAATCTCAGTTCCCACGAGGATTTGACCTTGCTCTACCGAAACATTTACAAGAAGTGTGGCACTCAGACATCGATTCGTGCGCTTCGCATGACGAATCGATGTAGCTGCGTGCTGCGGGGAGCTCCAGTTCCTGTGTGTGCAACATCAATGGCATGTTGCAGTTGAGAGATGATGAAACGACAATGGATGAGGTTAGTCAGGGATGGACATGACAAGAAACATCAACCACAACGAAACCGCCCAAGCCCAATATTGTTCCTCACCACAACACATGTTTGGGGGTAAAGGTGATTTCTGACCATCCCTCAATGTCGGACGTGGGATGTTTTGGTGAGCAAAACCTCAGTGGTCAGCAGGCCAACCATTTGACACAGCCAGTATCCACCTGTCGACATGAAATCTGAGTCTGATGGATCTTGGATGCTTGATTGAATCGTATACTCTCTGAGTCATTGGGACAGCTACATCATTGGGACATGTCGGATATATTGGGATGGCCGAATCGATGCGGGTTTTGGATCGGTTCATTCAACCATCTTGCGTCAGGTTCTTCGAGCTGGCTCCTTCCGGGCAGGACTACTTCAAGCAATCCTTGGCACGCCTGGATTACATCGCTGATCAGCCTCTTGCTCAGAAAGTATCCACATGGGATAGAATTTCTATACCCACCCGTGAGACTTGTGAGGTTTCATTCCCCCCTGCGGCATACAGCCTGCAGAAATTGGAAAGATCGGGTCCATAGGCTGCGGCTGCCTGTCCCCAACCCCAATTTTGGGCGCCGTTCAGCGGGCGGAGATGGGGCAATTCGTTCCTCCGCAGTGACAGGGATGATATATATGGCGGGCCACCATGAGCCTTTTGAGCAAAGCGTGACGCACGCCGCATGGTGGCTGTGGGACATAGATGCAGGAGTACGAGTTTGGCACAGCGACAAGAACATGTCAGTTGGATTTCACAGTTTTTGTTTATATTAGGGTTATAAAGCCACATGCAGTTTTTGCGTCATGCATCATGCAGCTTTCGTACGACGAGTACGAGTACACTTGTTCCCTGGGCTGTGATCATTAGCCTTGCTTCAGATGTTGAGCCGTTTGCTTGTTGCTTTTGGAGCCACTACTTGGTGGCTCACTTGAGATTCGTAGGCAAAGTCATGGATATCACAAGAATCTACCATGGTCTACCAAGTCAAACACGGTTCATAGATGTGAAAACGTCGTTCAACCTGTGCCCCGTAGTTCAAAGCTTGTGGTATGTCTGTAGTATTGCACCTACATCACAGTCTCAGGATCTTGGTGATGTCCCTTGAGATGTACAAAGATCCTCGCAACTGGGCGGCCGTCCGATGTTTTATTAAGTGATGCAGGATGGTTTTATGGTTTCTATATATCCTGCTGCAAATTCTGCAATGTACACAGGGTTGTGCAACGAAAATACGCTGAGTTCATGTCCTCCTCTGACAACGAAAATACGCTGCATGCTCTGTCACATGAGCTGCTTTGTGTGACACAACATCCGATGCTTTGTCAACCAGATTGACTGACATCCAAAGGCTTGCGGCTCGCATTTTTGGCCGATTTCATCAGTAGCCCGTAGTGCAGATACACTGAAAAACCTTAAGAGGGTGGTGTTGTTGTCCCTGGGTAGACGGGAACATCCCCAAAGTCTCGCGAATCTTGAGAAACCAAAGCATCATTAAAGTCATATTCTTGAGATTTCACACTAGAGGGCGAGCTAATTCTCTAGCCCCTGCTACATATTGGCATTTATTGGCTTTGCAGGGCGCATTTTGACCCTGGCCACTTGGTAGGTTTCAGATGTTTCATTGAAATTTCTTTACAACCTTCAAGTCTTTTTGTGATCCATGTTGAGCAAACACATGTGGAGTTGTGGCGTCCATGTAGGCAAATATTTGATCCACTGATTGGCCGGGATAGGTCATATTATCACGAAAGCCAGCAAACAAAGTGAGTGTTTGGGGGGTCTGGGGGGGAGGTGCGGAAAGTGCATGTAAGCCATATTAACCTGCTGGTGTTTTTACGTTGCCAAAGATATGATTTTTTTTGGTGGGTGTGTGATGCAGAAGATGCAAGGTAAATGGGCCAGTGAATCATTTGCTTCAGCAACCTCCTCTATATGTGTATTGAATGTTTGGAAGACATTCTACTCAGACTTACTGGGTCACGGTTTTAACATGTGAAAGTCAATTTCCCATACACATGCAAATTATTACTCTGATGGCCTTTCGACAGCTTCCATGCGCGCTACGATTGAACACGTTCAGAATAGGAATTCCCGTTCATGCTTCCAAAAGCAGCCTTTTGGCCAAAGGCATAGCAATTGTCCTTCTAAAGGTCTAGCAGGTAGTTGCTCCTGGCTTTTGTTTCCCCCTTCTAAGGTATACAAGAGAAACACTCATACTACCAACAACTTGACTCCTGACTAGCTCACCATCATCTTGCGCATAACGGTGTGAGTCATTATGAGTCATGAGTCAAATCCATGTCAGGATGTTCCAGCAAATGGGTGACCAGTTGCCACCGTGAGCTTGAGCCACCGTCGCTCACCTCCTTTCCTCTACCCCCCGCTCACGGCCCCAGTCCCCGCCCGACGCAAACGCGCGCTCGGCGCAGACGAGGTGGCATGGTTCGAAGGATCTCTGCGCTGGGCCTCCGTTCCTTGGGCGGTCCCGTTCCGGCGGTCCGTGTGTCGTGTGTCGTGTGCGGCGACGGACCTAACGCTGGGAGTAAAGGAGTCAACAAACGCAAGTGATGTGTGTGAAAGCCAGCAGTTTTTTCAGGGTCTTTCTTGTAGACATTGGGAGAGAGTGTGCGAGATTCGACAGATTCTGCGACATTTAACTTTGGTGGGGGGGAACCAGGAAGTGCAGGTATCCTCCAAGGTTTCTTGTCGACACAGGCTCATAATGGAAGACGAATCATGAAGACAGAAGGCTTTTCATGGGAAACAACCATCTGTGCGAAATATGACGGTTTCCCTCTCAGTGTTCAACCCTTGGAAGCAAAAAAGAGAGCAACAAGCTGGTGGAATTCAGGAATGCCGGCTGGTTTGGCATCGTACACGTAGATATTTGGAGATGCTTTTTCCCTGGAGGTTGACCGATGGAATAATTAAAGGATTTAGACATGAGTAATTTGAGCTGGTGTTGCGAAAGGAACAACTCCAGTCGCGAAGGCTCGCGAAAGGTCTTCGAAGATGTTTCCTGAAACAGACTGCCCTGAACCCTTCGCAAAAGATCTTGATGGATTGTCAATCGAAGGCACTCGTTTTACCATCCTGCATCTTGGAACCTTTGCGTCGGGGTACTCGTTTTACCGTCCAAGCGTTGTGTTGGGTTGCTTTGGCTGTCCGGATGGGTCGCTCACCAAAGCCACCACCAAAATGAACTCTTGAGCACCCTGCAGCCCACAAAAATTACTTTACTTCGACTGATCCCCGTAGCATTATACTCTGCTGAAAAACGACAGCTATATTGCTGCAGCGTCACCAAGTCTGGCATTCTATGTGGCATTCTTTCTGGAATATTTTCTGACATTCTTTCTGGCATTCATTCTGACATTCTTTCTGGCACATGTTCTGGCATTATTTTTGGCATAAACTCTAGCAATCAATGTTGCATATTTTCTTACATTCTGTTGACACTTTTGCACACTTTCTGGGCTTCGTAAATTCTGATAGTATATCTGGCATATCTTCTGGCACTCTATCGGACAAGTATTCTGGCAATCTATCTGGCACATCTTCTGGCATTCTTCCTGACACTTGTTCTATCTGGCTCAGGTCCGGTGGTGGCCCCTGTGAGCCACTGCTGCCGGTGAAATCGTATCCCTTCATGGCTTTGGCAAAAGAACGGCATGAGAAACGTGGACCATGGATACTAGTACAGGAACATGACCGAACCGTTTTTTCCCAGATTGTCATCAAATCCCTCTAGCCTTCGCGTCATTTTGCCGCTTCAGGCCACGTGGGCTATGCCATTCCAACGGACCTCTTCCCACCCTTCGTGACAGCGGCGATCGACGTGGTCCGCTCCATGACCACGGCCCGGACGCTCAGACCTCGGAGACCGAGCACTTGCACCAGACCTCGGTCGCGCTGACCGCGAGACACGAACTCCTGAGGGTGAGATAGAAGCATTATCGCGTGGGCCAACAAGAGCTTTGGAGAGGAAGACGGGTGAGCGTTGTTTTTTTAGTGATGACCTTTGTAAGTTAGTGGCTGGGAGCCTCGTCTGAATTCAAAGCGCCATTCCTGAGTGGCAAACATGGCAAAATGTTTGTGCAACAGATGTTCCGGAAGAGGTAGATGAAGATCCTCCAGTAGGCTTGCCTCGTGCAATTTTTTGAATCAGCAGACTGAATGTTGTTGCCGGCCTTCGGTGAATGGGTGTGTGTGAAACTGCAAAGCCAGTCAATGTGATCTACGACAGGCAGCGATGCCGCAATGCCATGATATGCCATGTGTGAGAACGTGAATTGCGCAGGATGGAGTGGGACCTTCTCTCAAGGTTCAAACAGGTATAAAATCGTATCCTTCGCTTTCATTTTGTTCTACTCCGGCTATGCTTGTTTGGGGTCATGTTGAGTGCACAGTCTATGTATGACTATGGTGTTTTGACAAGGACCTTAAGACATGTCAGGCAGAATCTAGGAAATTGTCCCACGATTCGATCCAAGATCCCGAACTGCCCGCCCGACTGATCGCAAGTCGCCGACTGAATGGCAGGTGTCAGCACTGAATGGTTCTTTCAATTTTCCCATCTCACGGACCTGTGGCCCTGTTCAAGGGCTTCAGCATTACCTAAGAAACAAACAAAACACATATCAAAATGTACTTGAAGATACTTGAGGTATTTATCCCTCTCTGTGTGCCACAGCACCCAGACAAGTTCAATCCAACATCACTGCCACCTGCCGTCCTCCTGAAACGGCCGCCCTGCAACGCCACGAGGTCGATCAGGCAGAAAGCGCGTTTCGGTGGTCCTTGACACTGGTCTCCAAGATTTTGGTTCGAAGCATCAACGAAGGCCATCGGTGGAGTGGGAGGAAGGCACGTGGCACACTGGGGGGCATTGTGGCCGTGGGGGGCATTGTGGCCGTGTGGACATGACATCTTGAACTCACTTCGAGGTTTGGTGATCAAAAGTTGGGGCAGAACTTATACTCCATTATACTCCATTTTTTGGGGGACAAAAACCTAGCAATGAACATGGGTCAGAGGCCTCACTCAAGTCCTTCTGGGAATCCTGGAGCATCCTGGAGCTACATGTGTTAATTCTATTTGTCTTGCCTGGCCGTGCGAACAGAACCTGGTTTTCACGTCTCTGTGGCACGAAACCTGCCATCCGAAACCATTTTTTATCCTTGGCGTCGTGCGTTGCTGAACTGGCGAGTGCCCGTTGGTCATATGTGATAACTAGGTGGTGGTTTCGGATAATTATATAGTTTTAACCTTTACTTGGGATGATTGGACCCGCTGACTCTCTTTGAATTGAGTTGAAACCGCCAGCCAGATAATATCTTACAATCACTGCATGACCTGTCTAAATAGAGGTTGATACCCAATTATTCTGATGAGATAAACACACTGGTCGCATTGATCATGTTGCGTGAAGCCAAGAAGATTGTCTCTTCGAAAGCGGTTGGTTGCCTTAGGCTCCACTGTCGTTATGAAGGCAGTGAATACCAACCAGGGGAAGGCAGGAAGCTGCGGTTCGAGAGGTTTGACTGCAGCTTGCGCGGCTTTGCTTTGCATGTCGTCATGAATGTGGAGATAAGGGAACTATCATTCATACAGGGAACAACACTTCCCCTTTTTTTGAGGAACTCCGTTGCCCAATGCACTTCTGACATTTTCTGACCCTAGTTTGTGACCCAACTTTTGGATAATTTTACCATCAGATCTCGCACAATGAACCATAAAGCCCTTTTGGTTACCGTGGTGGTTTCTGGGTCGCTGGTTTGTGATTTTACGTCCAAGCCCTGTCTGAAATCGGATGACAACAGTTCTTGTTGGTACTGGGAGAGGTTGACGTATTCCCTGATTGGTGAAGCCTGATCCACTGCTCAAGTAGATCATTCAACATCAAAACGCTTGTCTATGCTTGTCTCCTCTCTGTCCCAGTCCCTGCGACGAGCTGTGGCCTTGGCCCCTCGCGGTCAGCGGAACATGCAGATGCTCAACGTTGAGGCGGACAGCTGATGAAGGACCTGGAGAACTAGGCTTTGACATTTCAGGCTGTAGGCAAAGCGTCTTTGAATTGCTGAAGGGAATTAACCCCTGAAGCCTAGAAGCTATATAGTTCTGATATTCTGTCTTTGATTGAATCAAAGGCTGCTGATTTAAAAGGACGTGCGACCGTGACAATGTAAGACAGACTAAGCCTGACATGGCCGCTGTTGGTTTGCTGACAGTGCCAGAGAACATGCGAAGTGTTCCAAGTACTGTCGAGAAGCCCTTGACACAAAAAGTTTGCCAAGTGGAAACACAACTTGGGTAAACCGGTCGTGGTGCTGAGAGACAAAGTTCTGGCACCCCCCAAAAGCATACATATCGGGGACCTTGCTGAGTGCGTCTCATCACGAGGTGGGTACGGAGTCCATTTCGCCTTTGTACTGGGCCATTGAGACCGGCAGCCACAACGTGGCCAAGGCCGGAGCTTGAAACGGCTTGGGACCATTTGCCTTGGTCATTATTAACTAAGGGGTGCCGGGGTGCCCTTAGTTGCTTTAAGGACATCTAGGAGCTTGACAAAGGTACATAAGGCTTCCCAAACATATGCATATATGAATGTAATTAATATATATATATATGTGTGTGTTGTTCTTTTTAACGAAAGCCTGCCGACAGGCTAGGCTGAAGTTGTTCCTGTGAAGGAAGAACAGAAAAAATCTTAAGTTGTTTTGGAGTTTAGGGGGTCAGCTAGTTGAGAAGAAGAGTTCATCAATGGGAATGAGATTGGGGTTACATTAGATTGAGAGCAACTGAGGGCAAATTAGATTGAGAGCAATTGAGAGAAATGAGATTGAGGCAGGAGTCTTTTTCAAGGCGTTGTTTTTTTCGGCTAGATTTGGGATATCTAGGTCCAGTGGGAAATAACCGTTAGTTAGCTATATTTAGGGTGTTCTAATACATTTGTTTTGGAGAGTTGCTTAGCTTTATTCAAGGTATGATTACTAATCATATGTCTCTCCAGCAAAGTCCCCCATGGACCTGCTAGAGCCATGACAATCCACGGAAGTTCCGGTCACTTCAGAAAAGCACATAGCTAGTTAGTATATATTTATATATCATGTATAACGAACAAGGCGGGCTCAGAGTATTGCAGCTACATACAGCTACATTATTTTGTGTGTATTTGCCTATAACTGTTTAGATACGTAGATATGCCGACATACGTATGCTCATATTCATAAATAATATATATGTATATAGATAGATACAGACTCCAGATATATACGATATATATATACATTTTAGGTGTGATTTCTGAATATGCTAGCAACACCCAAGCGTTTTCCCTTGACATGATAGAGCCATGGGTTCTTGGAAGGGGCCACCGCGACTGGTTCCACAAGCGAACAGTTGAACCAGTGGTTTTGCTGCGCTTGATTTCTGAGTGCTAAAAACATCTCTCCAGACTATTGAGTCGATGAGCGCCTGGAAAGTGCAGAATTTCTCGGCGGTCGAGAATCCACAGCAAATTCTGTACATGTCAAGCTGGTTGTAGAATGCGCTGGCTTTCGTCCCCGCCTTCTCAAGTATGTATATGATTGTATATTTATATAAGTGATATATTACAGACAAACACACGCTCAACACATGTATGAAGGGTTTCTCGTTTCGTTATGTGTTTGGAGAACGCAAGATAAAGCACATCGGTTCCAAGAAAGAGTAGTGATAGTGATGCAGCAGATGTGGAGAACGCACCGATGCACACAGAGCCCCGCACCGAACCCTCGATTTGCGCACCGAGCCCTTCGCGCGGCTCATCAGCCTCGAGGCGATGATCATTGACTTGCTCACCATCCGAGCTGATCGCGACAACTACTACTACGGCCACTTGGTCGTCGTGACAACGGCCACGGTCGTTTTTCACCATGATGCTTGCGGCCATGGAAGAATTGCATTGAAATCTCAGGGCCCAGGGCATCCTTTAGACACATGGGCCATGCAAAGAATGGCATTTGAGAGGTGGCCATTAGTACGGGCCTCGTCAAAACTCCAAAGGAGGGATTGTGCTAAGCCACGTTAAACCACCAGTAAATCAAACCCTCACCACTGGATACATACCACCTAGGGAAGGTCTGGTGTTCACTTGTCCCCTCGTGCTTCGATCAAAGGTGCCCTTCACGTTTCGATCAGAGACTAGGATTCCCATGGATTTCCACTATTTCATACCTGTTCTGACAAGTCACGAGGGCGAATGTGAAGCTGTTCTGACAAGATCAGGCCCCAAACAAGGCCCCAGTGGGGTCGGGATTGGCGACCTCGTGTCCATCCGTTCCACCGGGGTCTCCGAGGCAATGAAGCCTTGTTCACCCGCCATCCAGAGATCATTGAAAAGCTTTGTCTGAACCTTACCCTTTGGAGAAGACGAAGACGAGTCGTTCACCTGACAAGAGATGTATTCGCATGGATTTGTGGATACGTCCAAGATTCATAAGATGCATGCATGTTTGTTAGTCGTTATTGGCGGTTTTTACCAGGTCTTTGGTGTACAACACAAGGTAGTGTCTCTTCTCTTCAACCTCAGGTCGAAGTCGATATCGCCGAGTGAGAAACCACTGAAACCACTGGCCGCCAGGGAAGAACAAACACAACAATAACCAAACCAACAAGCACCAACCACAAAGCTGGTGAGTTCTCAGGAGGTTGATGGACCTGGGGCATGGGCACTACTTGGGCCAAGGGAGGGAAGTCTAGCATGGAAGTTTTTGTTTTTGTAAACATGGTGTGGACCGTGTGGACCTGGGCCAATGTTGTTCCTAAAGAATGGCTCTAGGGGTGGGCCATATTAACTTGTCGCCATGTCTTTTGATCTTGAACTCAAATTCAAGAATCAGTCACAAGTGCAAAAGGCGGCTCAGAAATCTGTCAAGCTCAAAGAAGGCTCATGATTCCAGTGTTATTCAAGAAACAGTCTGGGTTCTGGTGTTTGGACACATGGATCCATTTTCTTCACGATGCCTTCAGCTGCAAGAAGAACCATACACATGTGAGTTAAATCTCAAGCGTTCGAATCATGTACATATGTATATAGTACATATTGATTTGTATCATATTGGACATATATAGTATTTAAAATTACTGGCCTGTGCAGTGTATGACATTGACTCAGGTTTGCTTTTTGACATGGTGACGGTTTCCCCGTCTCATTGAGGCCTGGATGCTCCAGTTCTCCTGTGGCCTTTGTTGGATGGTCTGATTTGGCGCTCTCGCTTCGTCTCACAAGGCAAGAGTGGTCGTTCGCTCTCGCTGGGTGGAATGTCCCTCGAGCCGACAGGAAATAGATGACATGCAACTCCTAAACGGAGTGGACAGAAGGCGTTTCCTCGAGCCCGGTATTCCAAAACAGCACACCATCTCGTTGATTGCGGTCGACTTTTTCACTTTGGTACGTTTGTATTTTGCTGAACATTTGGCATGTTCGAGGCACTCGGCGGGTCAACTACTATATCCAGCTTCTTGTTCGCAAGTGCTCATGAACTGCCAGGAGCAGCAGACCTGAGTGAAGAGTGCAAGCATGCAGAAGCAAGGCAAGGTTGACCATCCATTTCGAGGTTCCCTTTATAAATCCATTTTAGACCATTTTCACCATGGTGCCAAATATCATTGGTTGATGTCCTGTCCTGTGGCGCAAACAACCTGCAGGGTCCCAGCAATACTCCCAAAACAGCAGGCGATTCTTCCAAGTCGATGCCAAGGCACTTGGTACAGGACGCTGATGGCAACATGAACCAGGTCTGGAACTGTGGGATGGGTCATGGAGAGGTGCTCGCCAGGATTGCCTTTGGACTGATTTACATACGACGTGTTTCCTAACTTGAAGATATTTGACATCTACCCCACTCACACTGACTTAAAACCAAATTCGGTGCTTGGTTGTTTGGAATTAATATGAATTAATACATGTTGCCGGAACAGTCCTCAGCGGCACCCCACTACCACTTAACCAAACTTGCGTGGATCCACTAGATGAACGTGTTTTGTGTTTTCGTGACACGTTTTTTGTTCGCCCTGCCGCTAGACATTCGGTTGACCAGATTCTTGGATCCTCACTGTTCTGTGCCCATCATGTGTGACGGAGCTTGCTTGGCAGAAGATCAGATGACCTCCTTATACTCACTTTAGCTTCGCCACACCGAACAAGATCGTGTTCGCGCCTGGATTCCTCAGGCTCTCCAGTGGATGGCAGACACTCGTGATCCAAAGTTGATCACCCATCCCATCGTGGCCCTTTGGCGGAAACGGCCGTCCCATACCGTCCTTTGGATGCCGCTACTATAGGTTCTTCTGCCCTACTAGGCTGGTACTATAGGCCGCTACTAGGCTGGTTGGAGGCGAACTCGCTCTGGGTGTGTTACCTACTAGCTAGCAAGAAGCCGACCGAATTCGAGCTTTATTACCTCTTCGGTGCCGACCTCTTCGCTCCGCAGCGTTCGCGTCGTGGTCCAAGTCCGAGTCCCAAGGGACCTTGACAACTGTGTGTTGACACCCTCGTGGGCGACCGACCCCAAATATCACTCGTGGCGACTGGCCACTCGTGGGCGGCCCATGGTATTTATTGATTTATAGTTATGATTCATTGATTTGTGTCGTCGTAGAATCTTTTTGATCCTATTTGCAAGTGGAGCTTTTTTGTGGGACTGCCTGAAGAAACCATGGACCATTCGTCAGCCTGGGCCTAGTTGCACTTGATGCCAATTTTGACAGTACAACTCCATTTGCATATCAACACACCACAAAGGCTTTGGAGCAGGCACAGATGAGCAATTCGCAGAATTGGGAATATTGGGGGGTATTGGGATCAGCCCATTTTGACTGGAAACCACCAAGACAGGGGGGCCAACCTTCGCTTACACCTTCAAAGCAGTGCGGTGCCCCGCCACCCATTGCAGAGGTATAGGCGGTATAGGAATGGACGCTTATCGCTTTGATCGTTGAACCTCTGATGGATTTTTGCAGGTCCCACATGTGACATCATGTGACCAGTCCTGGTCAAAGTCAACCCCGAGGTTGTGAGAGCTGTAAGAAACAAATCGGTGGATTTAGGATGATTTAGGGGTGTTTGGTTTCTTTTGGGGTACACAGTTTCCCCACACAGCCGCATCCGAATAACTCCTTCTGCATCTTCTGCACCATTTCTGGGTCCGTCAATCTCGTTTCCCGTTGAATACTCGACGTCGACATCATGACTGATCAGTCAGGTGGATCTTCAATCTATTAGATCACGAAAATCGAGTAGAAACGTCATAGAAACGTCACATCTGTCACATTCTGTCACTATATCCTCTCAAAAACATCCAGATCATTGGTAGAACACCTCGGTCACATGGGTCACAACCGTCCACCATCTGAAATAGAACCGTCCATCTCAGGTCGTCTTCTCTGATCTCATGTGGAGCCGTTTAGTGATGTATCACTTCCTCACCGGGAGCCACGGACGACGGCTTCGACGTGGTGTTCGACGTCTGAGACGCAGCATTTGAACGAAGAAGATGACGTAGGGCGAGTAGGACGAGGTGGTCTCCTCACATGAGGGCGTGCAATTTACAGATGAAAAACATGATTCTATAGTAGTTTCAGAGGTTCGATGATGTTCGATGTCGACAGATGGGGGGTCCAGACAAACCACCGACATTGGGGTCTGTCCCATCTACTATCAATCCACTATAGCCTATAGCATAGGTTGGTCGCTCCACTTTCGATTGGAAAGGGGAATGGGGATGTTTCATGGGGACGGAAGGGGTGAATTTTCAGAGTGACCATTAAGCAAGACGGTGTGAGAGCTGTATGCATTTGCTGCATTAGTCCTGTGTCGGAGATGTTCAACCCATTCATATCAGGAATGCTCAAAAAACTACGTATAGTAATAGATCCCCGTTGCTACCGACAATCTAAAATGGGTTTGGACCATGTTAGACAGTTTTTGGATAACATGAGTGTGGTCGACCTCTATTCTCGGTAGCAACGGGGATAATTAGTACCAGAGGCCCCCAAAACCATGAAAACATATGAAAACAATGGTTTTCACATACAAAAACCATGCTTTTTGCTAGGGACAACCAAGCTTTTGATGGTTTGTGGGGCCCCTGGTAATGTAGTCATAGTTGTGCTGGGAATCCCCAATCCTCGGAGTATCGGAGAATCTGAACAGTGTGGGCGGCGTGGCGCCCGATGCTCAGCCTGATGAGTTTGACCTACCCCAAAAGTTCCTTTTTTTTGTTTTATTCTTTTAAACGGGGTGTGGGCCGCTAAGAGGAGGTAGTAGCTAGGTAGCTAGTAGCTTAAGTATAGCTACTCTTAAGGTATCTTAATTTCCTTTGCGGATTGGGTCGCTTGCCCTTGCCAGTTTGCACAAAGAAAAGTAAACGAACAGATGCTGCACAGAAGACGTTGCAGGAGGGTGTGCTTTTTCTTCACCTTGATCATCTTCGTACTCGGCAGCTCAGTTGAGATCTATATATAAGTTTTCTTAGCCTGCTGGGCCTGCGACATGATTTCATCCTGTGCTAGTGGTTCGTATGGTCAAGGACGACCACCCACTCACAAGTTCAATCAGGATTCTCCTGTCCTGTCCTGCATTTCTGGGTGCTTTCTTGCAGATTCCTGCTTGAAACATGTTGAAGACCCCAAAGAGGCTTCGTTTGTGTTGTTCATCTCAAGACCCTTTTGAGATGGTCAAACTGAGCTGCATGCGAACCAAGAAAACTCATCAAACATGCGACGGAACTGTAACTGGGTTCTTGCAGTGTTTGGGATTTGCCTAAGGCTTGAGGCAAAGCCCAAGGCCTCGAGACAAAGCTAAGCATGTTTGGTCATGAGAAGACAACCGGTATAGTAGCAACAGGTTTGAACATGTTCTTGAGTTCAACTGCTTGTTTTCACTGTTTTATCTATGTGACATTCTGCGCGTAGACTGTCCCAAAAAACATGTTGATTTTTGTTCTGTTCAATTCCCGAGAATTCTTGTTTGTGAGTTCACCCATGTCCAAAGATCAGCTGTCCCTTCCCTGAGATAGAAGATTGACCAACAACAACAGGATCCGCAAACCGGTGACTCAATGTGAAGGGCCAAGAACACCCTCAAAGACCCCCCAGGGCTAACTTCAGCTGGGAATACTTCTTGCACATGGAACCGTACTCCTTCGGCACGCGGAAGTGATCACATGCGTGGCAAGGTCAAGCTTTGGACAGCGAAGAACGTGTGGTGATCTTCATTTGCCGAGCCTTCATCTATGTCGGCGTCATGTTTCTCGAGCCCATTCCGAAAGGACTGGAGGACAGTGGTTTCGGGCGGTTCTCGAGATATTTTGGATCTTGGCACCGTTGTTCTCTAGATATACACGGTGTCACCCTAAACCCACCAGGTCACCATGGTCTCCAAAGACCTCCACCTCCAAAGACCTCCACCCTCCCAACAAAAAAGTCCAAACGCCCTGCCAAAGCTCCCCTCAGACCCTCAGAAGTATATTATATATTGAACTTATTGAACTAATAGCAACTGCTATCCAATTAGGAGCATCCAAGCCAGAGGTCTTGGGCACTTGGAGAGAGTAACATAGAGTAACAGAAGACTTGACCCCTGTAATGTAAAGGGTAAAATAGATTTGGCCAAAGGATCAACATGTTCATCACAAAACCAACTATAAGTGTACAACAACTAGTGTGCTGCTTTGGATTGTATGGGCATTTGTACACAAAGCCATGCTTACTGCTGGCTTTCAGTTTGTAGTCTAGATGAACCAAACAAAAATACGAAACGTTTTGCTGGAGAAACATGCTTTCCAGTGTTCTAGGGCCTAGGGGCCTTTCTCAGACAAAAGCTAGATGCGAGGGTTTTCATGAATGCTTCACTTACCAAATAGGTTGATCATCCCAGTCGTCCATTCTGTCGAACGTACCATCGGTCAAGGCAGCGAGTCCGGGTCGGTGAACCAGAGTTTATGTTTTTTCATCATTGACCATGAAAAACATGTGTTTTTTCGGCATGACGTCTTATTGAATGGAATGATGGAGGAGAGAGATTGAAACTCAGCAGCTCGGCCCAAGGCTCTACCTATTGATCCGATCCTTGGAGACAAAGGAGAAGAACGAAGGACGAAAGGAGGATGGAGAGAGAGCAGAGGACTCCTGAAATAGGAGGAGGCCTGAAGCAGGAGGACTGGGATGGAAAAGCATTTTCCAACTTGACATGTTGCTGACTTCATCTTGGTGGCTTTGGGGATCTTTTTTGGGTCCGATCATCCAGCTAAGCTCGCCACGGCTACCTCATGCTACCTCTAGTCATGCCTTGGACCGGATCGTTTATATCCGGCTTCGTCCGAGCCGAGCCGCTCAAGCAAACCCACACCCATGGGACTTGATGTTTTGGCCAAGCAGTTGGGGATGAATCTGTTGGAAGGGAAGACATCCAAGACATCCGAGTTGTACCCATCTGGGTGCTGGATATCTGTCGCTAAGTAGTATTCTTCGTCCCGGTGAGCGACGAAGGAAACGTCAGCCCCAGAATGTCCCAGTGATACTTGGGAAAGGTGACGTTGACACTGGACTTTTAATTTGTCCAGAAGATTTGGGTGGTGTAAAGCTGGTGATCAAGCTTGAAGGGCATCTCTGTTTCCTCCCTTTTATAATATATTTTTTTCCCGAAAGCATTGCGAAGGGTTCTTCCGGAAAATCCTTTGAACACTGACACTTCGACACTTACACTTCGACACTCACACTTACACACACACACACACACACTGGAAGAGCGAAAGCATCCAAGTGCGAAGTATGCCAGTGTCAAAGTATGCAAGTGTAAGTATGCAAGCATGATATGCAAGGGTGAGTATGCAAGCATGCAATGACTATGCAAGCATGCAATGAGTAGGCAAGTGTGAGTATGGAAAACTAGCACGGGAGATGTCCTAATGAAAAAACATTTCCCCACTTTATAAATTCTCTCTTAAAGGCGGAGTGCGGGACGAACAGCGTCAACCGAAAGTGCAACCCTCTGCGGAGATCGTGC